GATTTCATCCCGACAAATGTAAGGTCCTCACCGTCGCAGGAAGGATATCCGAAACAGTTTCCCTCCTTAGTGTCCTACCACTCTTTAACTTTGTATACTCCATGGGAAGAATCACACTTGACTATGTTGATCATGAAAAGGATCTGGGTGTAATTGTGACATCAAATCTCGATTGGAAAGATCAGTGCTCCAAAGTCCTTTCTAAGGCAAACCAAAAATTAGGCATGGCGAGAAGAAATTGTTATTTTGTCCAAGACGTAAATCGTCGTAGAGTACTGTATCTCACTTTAGTGAGGAGCCTATTTGAGCATTGCTCGGTTATATGGAGACCAGTCACAAAATCCCAGATAAGCAAGCTGGAGGGCCTCCAAAAGCGTGCTATTAAGTGGATTCTTCACGAGGAGTATATGAGTTATCCACCATCCACATACATTCAAAAATGCAGACAGCTGAAGATTATGCCGATTGAAGACCGCTTTGACTTCTTGGATCTCATCTTCTTCTTTAAAATTGTGAAGCAACATATACCTGTCACTTTACCCTCATATTTGCAACCATTTCAAGGCCACTCAAGGCTCAGAAATAGTCACATGGACTCTCTATGTTGTGTAAGCTCTATCTCACCTCGAGCAAGCTCCAACGCTTTTGCCAAGAATTTCTTCTATAGGACCCACACTAAGTGGAATCACATTCCTCTAGATATCCGTGAGATAGAGAGTATCACTGATTTTAAAAGTAAACTTTCCACTTACATGTGGGGGAAAATTATCCCGGTGGATTCGGACTCTGAACTTGACTATTCAATAGAAACAAATCCGTAAAATAGTTTATTCAAGATTATCTATTCTTGCTGTCTGCATTCACACATTTCTCAATTTCATCTCACAGCACAATATTTTATGAATTGATTGAATGGGTGTGTGATTTTGATTAAAGTAACTTATTACAATTTTATAAGGGCCCATGCTTGTGCAGGAGCTGCATTTGCACTCAATATCTGTGTTTTGGTGACCCTCAGGTCCTTTGGTTACATACATTTTGTCCGAGACAATTTCAACTTTGACAATCCATGCTTAGAGGACAATATTATATTTAACTAATTCATTGTGTAAACTTGTATGTAATTGACTGATTTGAAAGATTTCAATAAAAAAAATGGGTACAGTGGACCGCCGCGCTGCCAGTGTGCATTGTCTATCTTTCCCAAACAAAAGGAAATGATATTAATTTGATTGACCGTTCTCAAATGCAAAATGATACCGAGAATGAAATCGGTCGCTCGCTTTTCCCATTCATTTCTGCTTCCGGCCAACCGGTGACTCACTCTATGAGGGATCAGTTTCTCTTTTTATTATTTCTTCAGAACTATAGATGTGGATTGTGGTGGGAGGTGAGGTTTATTTGTTTACCTGAAAGTTAACACGTGATCAATCCATGCAATTATTATTATTATATATGGCATCCCGTATATGAGATAATTGTATGGATTGATCACGTGTTAACTTTCTAGTTTCATGACCTCAGTTCGAAGTCACATATACCGTCAAACGTCTAATTTAAATCTACAAAACGTATAATTTAAATCTACAAAATGGCAGCTGATTGTTGAGTTACAAAGTAATTAGTGGTGTTTTGTTTAGTAGATAAGGTACAGTGTTAAGCATCAGGGTGGCGTATTATGAAGCATACTGCATGCTAGATACAGTAATCACTGCGAGCTCACTGATTGGTCAGTTTAACCGTGTCTTACTTGTTGTAATGACTATTCAGTATTCTATGGAAAAAACAACAAACTCTTGGATTGTTCCATTATTTGATTCTTCAGTATTGTGCTTTGGTTTATTCGCCGCTCAGTAGTTTGGAAATAGGCGATTTCCTTGTGACTCTATCTGAGTAACTAGTGACTCTATCTGAGTAACTAGTGACTCTATCTGATTAACTAGTGACTCTATCTGAGTAACTAGTGACTCTATCTGATTAACTAGTGACTCTATCTGAGTAACTAGTGACTCTATCTGAGTAACTAGTGACTCTATCTGAGTAACTAGTGACTCTATCTGAGTAACTAGTGACTCTATCTGAGTAACTAGTGACTCTATCTGAGTAACTAGTGACTCTATCTGAGTAACTAGTGACTCTATCTGAGTAACTAGTGACTCTATCTGAGTAACTAGTGACTCTATCTGAGTAACTAGTGACTCTATCTGAGTAACTAGTGACTCTATCTGAGTAACTAGTGACTCTATCTGAGTAACTAGTGACTCTATCTGAGTAACTAGTGACTCTATCTGAGTAACTAGTGACTCTATCTGAGTAACTAGTGACTCTATCTGAGTAACTAGTGACTCTATCTGAGTAACTAGTGACTCTATCTGAGTAACTAGTGACTCTATCTGAGTAACTAGTGACTCTATCTGAACCATATCATGGGATAATTTCAAGTGATCGGTCTTGTTAACGGAAAATAACACAAATAAATTAAACTCTTCTCAAAAATATCAATTTTATCGATTTAAAATTAACACATTTATAGCTAGTGCTAAGGTTGAGGGCATATTTTTAATTGCTTTTCCGTTTCACAATTTATTACAATTCGTAATGCTTCTACCAAGATTCCGTAATTTGACTGGTCCCAGTTGTACTGAGATATGTTGTTCAGATATTGAACTCTGAAGATTGAACTTTTGTAGTTGTACTTCTTGTAAGGGTTACTTCTAGTAAGGGGTACTTCATAGATAGTACTAATTATTGGATACAGCTAGGAGCTAATTAGTCAAGTAAAGCAGTACTACTACATGTAGTAATAGCGAAGAGTGAGTAACGTGCCCTATCTGTTTTGTTATTGCTGTATTTTACACTGGGTAGATGTTTGTATAAATCATCCGTACGTGACCTTGTAGTAAACAGTAAGTAACATGTAGTTACTAAGTAGACGTACGTGACCTTGTACGTGACCTTGCAGAGCTACTGCAATTTTGTATAAATCTATCAGTTCTTTTCCTTTACCATATTATTACGATCACTTTAATTACACTTTTTTTACACGTGTATTTTACACGTGTATTTTACACGTGTATTTTACACAGTTTCACGTGTATTTTACACAGTATCACGTGTATTTTACACGTGTATTTTACACAGTTTCACGTGTATTTTACACAGTATGTCCATGTTTTTAATATCCCTGATATTTTCAGTGATGACCTCTGAAGTTCCCCTAAACCTCACGTCCTCCATCCAGCTCCAAGTAGCTGCATCTTACACAGAATCAGTGTTTTACGCTATATTCCTGGCTGTTGGTAACCTTGTGGGTCTGTTTGGTAATGTACTGGTAATAGCAGCAACTATCGGCCAACAAGCCAACCACTTCAAACTAGATCAGGGAACTATAATCCTGCTGCGTCACCTAGCTATATCTGACGTGCTGTTCACTCTGCTCTACCCGGTCCCTATAATGGTAGTGTATATAGCACGGAGCTGGGTGTTTGGAGCGGAGGTGTGTTATCTTATAGGACTTGTTATTAGTCTACCTGCTACTGCAAACATGAACTTTATACTGGTCATGTCACTCTATAGATACGTGAGGTGTAGGTTCCCTATGAAAGTCACACAAATTACTCCTTCCATGGCTACAATAGGGTGTCTGATCATGTGGGCTCTGTCCTGTATCTTCCCTGTTTACACTCTGGTAGTGAAACTCAGGATTGTGTTCAACGTTAAACTTGCTTCCTGCAGCTTTACTTTCCCTAAATCCACTGGGAATGCTATCCTCATATTCGGAACGACTGTTGTACCGTTCCTAGTGATAGTTTCACTAAACGTGTTGTTGTGGTTGCACGTGCGCGCGTTTACTCGGCACTTATCTGCAAAGCTGGACAGCAAGTCGCGTCGTGAGATGACGGAGATGGAGAAGAAGCAGAGTAAGAGATTCAGAGCTTCTTACAGACAAGGTGTCATCACCACCACCTTTATCACCGCGCTCTTCGCTGTCACCTGGATGCCAACTGTGCTGAGGTTCGCGTACGCTGCATTTGTTGGAGAAGATGGGTTATACGACTGGGTAGAAAAAGTAAGGTATTTCTACTTCTTGGGGTCGTGGGGGAACCCTATAATATACGGTATGATAAACAAGGGGTTCCAGGACTACTTCAAGTCATTTGTTAACAGACTCTGCAGGGTTTACGTTGTGGACCCTTCCAATAACGTGGGTAAAGTTATGAGCGAGATACAAGTTAACATTAGAAAAGGAAGCAAACCGGTCAATGATGCGAGCAAGGTAGATGATGTTCGTATTGTGTGTACTCCTAAATCTATAATGAAAACTGCTGATGAGCAGGGAAGTGTGTCTCCTAATGAGCTGGAGGTTTATGACAATAAAACATTTGATTATTCGTGTATTGAGTCGAAAAAAGTAGTTTTCAAGGGATGAGCCAATTTCTTTATCTGTAACTTACTTACTTTAGTAGTAACTAGTAGTAGTTTAGTAACTTGCCGATAAATTATTTTTTCTTATTTATTTGATAGCCAATTATCTACGCAACATCTTATTCCAATTTCCACGAATTGCTATATATATACAAACTATGTCTCTTTAAATCTAAACGGTTTATTTTTTGGTTTTTCGCATCAACTGTAAAACTGTGGATATGAAGTTAACTTTGCCAGTAAAATGGTTTATGATAGTTGTGTAGTGCTGGTACTAAAAATAGTAATTAATAAAGATAGTCAGCAAATGATGGTCCCAAAGATAAACAAATACATCTAGACGATTGCTGTAACTTCAAATAGCCATGTTATAAAATCAATTATGCGTTAAAACTTGTATATGTGACTATTTACTGTCGACTTTACTGAAAACCACAAAAACGGTTACACAACAGACGACTGATTCGCCAATATTGTTTTATTCCATTATTTTGCCTAAACTCATGAAATTAGAGGAACAAACTTCATCAAAAATATTTAAAAACAACAAAAAGCAACCAACAATAAAATTTCAGTTAAAATAACAATAGAGGGTGATTGTGAGCTGTTGGTTAGCGAGACACTAAGATTGAGGGTAGATGCTCCCCCATCCTACACTGACATTCAGTGGTATTTAGACAAAACATGTCTTGCTGCGGAGAAATCTAAAGATCTTGTTTTGGATCAGGTAGGGTTTGTTCCCAGAGCAAATTAGATACCCTTTTATTATAGTATAGTATATACAGGGTGGCCCATGATAGTCTACCCATCCTTATCTCTTAAAATTGTTACAGGTCGCTGAGATCTTGCTAATTATTCTATTTCAGAATGGAAAAGCGCCATAACTTACGTTCTGATTAATATTTTTGCTTCAAATTTTTAGAGAATGTCAATCATAATTAGACACAACTTCGTGCTAAGTTTTGTGTGAGTCTGAGCTTGTCTAACAAAATTAGCTCCTGAGTGCGCTAGCGTTAATTTCTCACCCAGAACTGTTTACATTGGTTAATAGAAACCACCAAAAAAAATCCTGGGTAAAAAAATTAAAAAACCACCGATTTATTCATGTTTTACCAATTCTATTCACCACGATGCATCGCACATTCCATTCTCTACACTGCTGTACAGTGTACATCCTATATTTTAACTGCAGATAAGGACTATCACAGATGATCCTTCCTGCTTGTTTATATCGTTCTGCTCACTTGCCTTAACAAATTTAAAATTATAGCTGGATGATTAGCCTACAATTTTATCGATACTGAAATCAATTGAATTGCGTTTCTCGGCAGGCACCACGAGAAGGTTCATCCATTGCCCGCCGTGTTGGCGATTAAAATCACCGTTTGTGTTGGCGATTAAAATCACCGTTTGTGTTGGCGATTAAAATCACCGTTTAGAGAAGGTGCTCAATGTGACCACCGCCTCGGCTCTTCAGGACGTCCATCCTCTTGGCTACTGATAAGGGGGGGTCCAAGGGGAACTTTGGGGAATTTTGGGTAAGTCCCCCAAGATTTCTGAAGTTCCCCAAAAAAAAGTTCCCCAAAACTCCCCAAAATTCCCCAAAATTCCCCAAAATTATTCAAAATTATTCAAAATTATTCAAAATTATTCAAAATTATTCAAAATTTCTCTAATATACATTAATACCCATTAATGTTAACTTGTATGTTATCATAAGGTATAATCTTAACTTACTTGTTGATACTTGCTGATAATTTTTTTGGCATGATAAATTTTTTGGGGAACTTTGGGGAATTTTGGGGAACTTTCTGAAGTTCCCCAAAAAACAGTTCCCCAAAATTCCCCAAAATTATTTGTTTCATTGATAATTTTTTGGGGAACTTTGGGAAAGTCCCCCAGGTTTCCTGAAGTTCCCCAAAAAAAAGTTCCCCAAAACTCCCCAAAGTTCCCCTTGGACCCCCCCCCCCCCCTGATAAACAGGAGTTCTGGCAGTGAGTGATGGGGATGTTCCGCAAGTTGTCACGAATGACAACTTCTAACTTTCTAAAGCAGCAAGGTTGGGGATGGGTAGACTCTCGTAGACCTTATCCTTCAACCATCCCCACAGGAAGAAGTCGCAAGGAGTGAGGTCAGGAGAGCGGGCTGGCCAGTGTTGAGCAAGTTTCTCTCCGATCGTCATGCTCCCAAACTGGTCACCAAGGTAATCAATAATGCGGTTGGGGATGTGCACTCTCGCCCCGTCCTGCATAAAGCTCATGAGAGACGGATCCAGGTCGTGGTGTGCACAGAAGTTGAAGAGTTCTGGTATGAAGAAGCTCTGCAACATCTGTAGGTAGCGATCTCCGTTCACAGTTACAGTGGCACCAGCTGCATCCTTGAAGAAGTATGGTCCGATGATTCCGTGAGAAGAGATCGCACACCAGACGTTCAGCTTTGGAGAGTTCTGAGTAGGTCTCTGCTGCACGCTGTCAGGTCTCTGGCTGCCCCAGTGTATTGCGTTGTGGCTGTTGACGGAACCGTGGAGGCAGAACTTGGCTTCGTCGGTCCACCAGATGTTTCCGATAAAGTCCTCGTTTGTGGAATCTTTCAGAAGCAACCAGTCAGCAAAGCGTACTCTAACTGGTGGATCCTGAAGCTGCAGAGTGTGGTGAACTGTCCAGCGATAAGGGTACAGTTTCAGTTCAGTCCTCAGAATGCGTTGCAAAGTCGTCCTAGGTATGCCAAGATTGGCCGAACGTCTTCTGGTCGATTGCCTGGGGTGGTCTGCCACAGATCCTACTACAGCCACAGTGTTCTCAAAGGTCACTCCCGTAGATGGTGGACCAGATGCATCCTTTTGTCGGTTGGTGACAACTCCATGTTCTGTAAATTTCTTCTTAAGGTTGTAGACTGCTTTCCTAGTAGGGGGAGTGATTCCAGGGAATTTCGCTATGAACAGTTGGATAAGAGCTGCGAAGGGGGTATCCTTGGATTCAGAAACAATAAATATCCGTTGCTGGAGAGTTAGTAGAGGCATGATGAGATGATCGTTAATGGTTAATAAATTGTTGCGACTTTTAAGGGGGAAATCTATCCCTGCTATCGTAAAATTCCCATGAGAATTCATAAGATTATGGATTATCGACCGGAAATCTACGTTATCGTTTGTTTTCTTTTCAAGTTTATTTACTCATCTCATGGGAATCGGCTGACCTGCTGTAAACCTATTTCAAACCACCGTTTGTAAAATCGATAAAATTGTAGGCTAATCATCCAGCTATAATTTTAAATTTGTTAAGGCAAGTGAGCAGAACGATATAAACAAGCAGGAAGGATCATCTGTGATAGTCCTTATCTGCAGTTAAAATATAGGATGTACACTGTACAGCAGTGTAGAGAATGGAATGTGCGATGCATCGTGGTGAATAGAATTGGTAAAACATAAATAAATCGGTGGTTTTTTAATTTTTTTACCCAGGATTTTTTTTGGTGGTTTCTATTAACCAATGTAAACAGTTCTGGGTGAGAAATTCAAGCTAGCTCGCTCAGGGGCTTAATTGGTCAAATAAGCTCAGTGAAGCTCTCAATCACACAAAACTTGCCACAAAGGTTCATCTACTTGTTATTAACATTCTGTGAAATTTAGAAGAAAAAATATTTATCAGAACATAAGTTATGCCACTTTTTGTTTTTAAAATAATTAGCAAGATCTCAGCGACCTGTCACAATTTTAAGAGATAAGGATGGGTAGACTATCATGGGCCACCCTGTATATTATATCTTTATATATATATAAAGAATAGTAGCTTAGTAGGTCAAAGCGTCATCTGTATTTCCGATAAGATATTCTCAGTCACCAGTACACAATTGATGACTTAAGTAGCTCTCTTTTCTTTACCAAGAGAAAAGAGCAGCTCTGGATCTAAAATAAGATTTATTACGTTTGCTGTTCGAAAATAAAGAGTGTTGGCTTATAACTGCTAGCTCTTTACTCATTAAAATTGCATGTTATATCGACTGGTTTGCTGGGATAATGGTATTGTTGCTGTTTGGATCTCTGTCAATTATTATTATCCTTATTATTTGACCAGGTGACAGTGGACGATAAAGGACGATATAAAGTCAGACTTGAATCAAATTCCGGAGATATAAAATGGGCTTTTGTCGACGTCAACGTCGTTCAGGAATTAGGTACTTTTTAATTAGGTACTTCGTTTAATCTCGAGAAATCTTTCAACGACTGGGTGTTTATTTAATATTAATAAGCCGCTTATCAATTGATAGGATCAATCTATAATTAACACCAGTCATGTTCAAAACTTCCGCCCTCGCAACGCCCCCATCCTTTTTCGCTGAAAAGAAACGATGATGATTCAGATACCTATTGCATGACTAATACCGTGCATGACTAATACCATGATTGATGCAAGCTATTGTAATCTGGAGCAGCTAGAGGTGATTTAATTCTTACCTCATACTAAGACGGATGCACAGTACATCGGACGCCAACGCCGAATTGCATATTTAATGAGTAGCAAAATAGTGTCAGTATGAGTTTAGCGCGCAGATTGTATACGCGCGCAACAATTGGACTCGAGCCAGGCAATGGTTTGCGTATGACTTCGACAATTATATATTCCTTTTAGCGTAATTTAATTCGTTACGTGTAATTTTGTCGTCATCATTGTCGTCACGAACCTCATTCATTAAAAATATTACAGCCTCGTGTAACAGGTTACATATTCTCCAGAAGTTTCCAATCTTGTAAACCCATACTGAGCTCCTGTCACTAGAGAGAGGTAAAGTATTTCCGGTTATAATAATCAAACTCTCGTGATACCATATATCCGGTACAGGGTGCCCAGTTGAAGAGTTACAGTTCCTTCTCCACCCTAAAGATTATCAACTCAAAGAATCCTCATCAGAAGCCCACTTTTTTGTAGATGTCAGGCCTCACCACGCACAATTGCAATGGTTAGACACTGCTGTAAATGCGAATTTTCTGACCAAACTGTAATCCTTATAAAATAAAACTGCAGTCATAGAGTAGCTAAATTTCTAAACGTAGGTACTGCGAAGGGGTTCTTATGCACGACAAGACGAAACCGTATCTCTGTGTGACAGGATTAGACCAAACCGCTCACAGGTAATGTTATTTCTGCATTTTTAGTGAATCGTAAGAAATGAGAGAATATTTTTTGTTCAATATTGTTCAGTTTTAAAAAAATATTGCATTGTTAATTTTAGCACCACGACAAATCTAACTTGAAATCTCCTTAAATTAGGTTATTTCAAGGAATATTCGCTCCCTTGGGAGTTCCTTGTGAATGTTCCCCTTATTTTGCCAGCCATCCGTAAACTCTACTAATCTTAACATTGAGTAACTTAACCACCCTACTTCTTCAGGAGACAGTACAAATGCACGGCGTGCTATGAAGGTAAAACCATTGTGTCTGAGACTGCTTTAGTCAGGTGGACTCCAGACGAACCTAAAAACTTTACAGGAACAAGTTTCGTGGAGACAGCCACTGATAAGGTGGGTTCTAGAAATATTACTTCAATTATTCTCATTATGCAGTAATGGTTATATTTATACCCCGGAAATTCTCCTTTGTTGGAGACAGGACCTTCTATTTCCGGGTGTATATTCCCCGGGGGTGTCAGTGCCAAGAATGTTAGCTGTTAAAATAACTGCTCGTGTTCACCCTGTGTCACACCGGCCACCATATATATTGTGTATAGTGTACACTGCGTATCTACTGTAATATTGGTCTGCAGGTAGCCCTAATAATAGGTAACCAGAGCTACACGGAGTCCACATTCGGAGATATAGTACACGCTGAGGACGATGCTAGAGACATCAGTGCTGCACTCAAACTAATGAACTTCAAGGTAAACTTAGAGATATTATTAGCATTGGTAGTAGTAGTAGTACTAGTTGTAGTACTAGCATTATATTTGAAATGTTTATTATTGATTAAAATGTTTAGCTAACTTTTCTCCGTAAAACAACTTATATAATGAACAGAGGGGGGGGGGGGGCTAATGGCATAGAATGGCATAAATGGAACCCAATTTTTTACAACTACAAAAAGTCAAAATCTTTTCAAAGTTTTTCTGGAAACTACTTTTGTTCACGATTCATGCTACCCTGATCATTATTAGCCGAAAATATTTTTTCGATTTTCTATGTCCTATATATATATATATAGCCCGAGGTTATCATTCCAGTATTATAGAAGATGCCTTTAACAAATTTAGTGATATAGCTAATAGGAAAAACTTGTATACCCTTAAAGACAAGGATGAGTCGACTGCCTGTTTAATACCCATGGTGATGGATCAAAATCCAGCACTTCCCAACATGGGGGGCATTATCCATAAGTATAAGCACCTTCTCAACCTTGATCCGGCCCTGAAGAAGCTGGTACGTGCGGACAGTGTATTCGTGAGTCATCGAAAGAATCAAACTATCGGTGGCATGCTTGTACACAATAAGTACCGTGCCAGTGGAACTTTAAACTGTGATAATGAGTGAGAAATAACTGCAAGCCAGGTCCAGGAACCAGACTCCGAAAGTCTAAGGGCGGTTCCCGGGGCTGTCGACCCAGGGTGCCATGCTTGTGGTAAATGTTATGTTTGTAAGCAAAATTTCCTGTCCCCCTGTTCCAATTTTAGTAGTCACCATTCTAAACAAGTTTTCCCTATAACTAAGTATATATCTTGTCAGAGTTATAACCTCATTTATTTAATGGAGTGTAAGACTTGTAAACAGTCGTATGTCGGTTATACTACCTCAAATCTCCCTAAGAGATTCTCTAACCATAAGAGTCACATAAAGAAAGGTATAAGAAGTTGTAAATTAGTTAACCATTTTTTAGATATTGATCATGATTTAGATTTTAGTACCATAGCCTGCTATAATTTCTCACTTAGTAAGCACCTTTCTGTCATTATAGTAGACGCTTTAGTATTTGAGCCTAATATTAGTAAAGCAGACAAAGAAAAGGCTATGGAAGCTAGAGAGTGGTTCTACCAGACCCAATTGAAAACCCTTGAACGGTTTGGGGGTATGAACACCCTTGATAGTAACCATCTACTTTTTAAATCTGCCGGAGCTTAGTTTTAGTTTTAGTATATTTTGTAGATTTTATTTAGTTATACCATTATTCCAGAGACGTGCATATTACATTTTTTACTTAAGTATAAATTTTACAGGTTTTTGTTGTGATTTTAAGTGATTTTCCGAGAATCAGTTATCAGTATTTAGATAAGAGATAAGATAAGAGTACATTTTTAACGGCTTTCAGTTTCTTTTTTAAATTTCAGTTCATCAGATTTTCCCACTGCTTTTAGTTTGTATTTATTCTCAATTGTATATGATTCGTATTTGTTGTAGTTACTTTAATGATATAATTTCTCAGAATTGATGTAAATAAACGATGCAAAGACTTTCGAAGATCTAATCACAACCGCTTTCTTTTATTGTGTAGAAGTCCAGCCATGAAATATATATATATATATAATGTATTAAGTATAATATATAATATTGTATTATAATATACCCTATACAATTAACAATTAACAGGTAGTGTCCCTGATAAACCTGACACGTGATGAGATGATAGCTGCGTGTGATAACTTCTACAAGTTACTAAGTACAGGAGTGTACGGTGTGTTCTATTTCGCTGGTCACGGCTTTGAGATCGCTGGGGAGAATTACCTGGTACGTGCTATTTTAGTATTTTATAGTGAATCTTTCCTCTTCTTTCTCAATAATTTAGTTTCATCTTAGTATCTACTACTTTATAGTGAAACTTTCCGCTTCTTTCTCAAGAATTTAGTTTCAACAAATTTTTACCGAAAAAAAGAGTTCGGAAAAATGTAAAGTAAAAAGATATCTCCTTACCCTGCAGGTTCCAGTAGACGCCCCCTCAACAGTGCGAATAGAGCACTGCATTAAAGCACAGTACGTTCTACACAGAATGCAGTTCAGAGAAACTAAACTAAACCTGCTCCTCCTCGACATGTGCAGGGAGTTTAACAATATGGGGGGAGTACCTGGGGATATACAGCCAGTCAGGAGTAGGGGGAACACTGCTATTGGTTATGCCTGGTAAGTGAGGAGTAGGGGGAACACTGCTATTGGTTATGCCTGGTAAGTGAGGAGTAGGGGGAACACTGCTATTGGTTAATGGTTATGCCTGGTAATAATTTTATCTCGACATATAATCTAGGGGCTCACTTATCACAGTTATAATCTAGGGGCTCACTTATCACAGTTATAATCTTGGGGCTCACTTATCACAGTTATAATCTAGGGGCTCACTTATCACAGTTATAATCTAGGGGCTCACTTATCACAGTTATAATCTAGGGGTCACTTATCACAGTTATAATCTAGGGGCTCACTTATCACAGTTATAATCTTGGGGCTCACTTATCACAGTTATAATCTAGGGGCTCACTTATCACAGTTATAATCTAGGGGCTCACTTATCACAGTTATAATCTAGGGGCTCACTTATCACAGTTATAATCTAGGGGCTCACTTATCACAGTTATAATCTAGGGGCTCACTTATCACAGTTATAATCTTGGGGCTCACTTATCACAGTTATAATCTAGGGGCTCACTTATCACAGTTATAATCTAGGGGTCACTTATCACAGTTATAATCTAGGGGCTCACTTATCACAGTTATAATCTTGGGGCTCACTTATCACAGTTATAATCTAGGGGCTCACTTATCACAGTTATAATCTAGGGGCTCACTTATCACAGTTATAATCTAGGGGCTCACTTATCACAGTTATAATCTAGGGGCTCACTTATTACAGTTATAATCTAGGGGTTCACTTATCACAGTTATAATCTAGGGGCTCACTTATCATAGTTATAATCTAGGGGCTCACTTATTACAGTTATAATCTAGGGGCTCACTTATCACAGTTATAATCTAGGGGCTCACTTATTACAGTTATAATCTAGGGGTTCACTTATCACAGTTATAATCTAGGGGCTCACTTATTACAGTTATAATCTAGGGGCTCACTTATCACAGTTATAATCTAGGGGCTCACTTATCACAGTTATAATCTAGGGGCTCACTTATTACAGTTATAATCTAGGGGCTCACTTATCACAGTTATAATCTAGGGGCTCACTTATCACAGTTATAATCTAGGGGCTCACTTATCACAGTTATAATCTAGGGGCTCACTTATTACAGTTATAATCTAGGGGCTCACTTATCACAGTTATAATCTAGGGGCTCACTTATCACAGTTATAATCTAGGGGCTCACTTATCACAGTTATAATCTAGGGGCTCACTTATCACAGTTATAATCTAGGGGCTCACTTATCACAGTTATAATCTAGGGGCTCACTTATCACAGTTATAATCTAGGGGTCACTTATCACAGTTATAATCTAGGGGCTCACTATTTTCAGCGGACCTGGATCACGAGCGTACGGTAGTGAGAACGATAAGAATGGAATTTATGTGAAATATTTGAGAGAGCACGTGACTAGAAATATAACCGTTACTAATCTTCTGGACTGTGTCAACAAAGGTTACTTATTTATTATCACTGGGTCATGCACTAATAATCAAGCAACTGCTATTGGTTATGCAAGCAAAGTGAGAAGTTTAATTATGTTGTTTTTTGAAATTTCCATCCAATACACCCCAGCTATATACAGTAGTGTTACAGTAATGTTACAGTAGTGTTACAGTAGTGTTACAGTAGTGTTACAGTAGTGTTACAGTAGTGTTACAGTAGTGATACAGTAGTGTTACAGTAGTGTTACACCCCAGCTATATACAGTAGTGTTACTGTAGTGTTACAGTAGTGTTACAGTAGTGTTACAGTAGTGTTACAGTAGTGTTACAGTAGTGTTACAGTAGTGTTACAGTAGTGTTACAGTAGTGTTACAGTAGTGTTACAGTAGTGTTACAGTAGTGTTACAGTAGTGTTACAGTAGTGTTACAGTAGTGTTACAGTAGTGTTACAGTAGTGTTACAGTAGTGTTACAGTAGTGATACAGTAGTGTTACAGTAGTGATACAGTAGTGTTACAGTAGTGTTACACCCCAGCTATATACAGTAGTGTTACAGTAGTGTTACAGTAGTGTTACAGTAGTGTTACAGTAGTGTTACAGTAGTGTTACAGTAGTGTTACAGTAGTGTTACAGTAGTGTTACAGTAGTGTTACAGTAGTGTTACAGTAGTGTTACAGTAGTGTTACAGTAGTGTTACAGTAGTGTTACAGTAGTGTTACAGTAGTGTTACAGTAGTGTTACAGTAGTGTTACAGTAGTGTTACAGTAGTGTTACAGTAGTGTTACAGTAGTGTTACAGTAGTGTTACAGTAGTGTTACAGTAGTGTTACAGTAGTGTTACAGTAGTGTTACAGTAGTGTTACAGTAGTGTTACAGTAGTGTTACAGTAGTGTTACAGTAGTGTTACAGTAGTGTTACAGTAGTGTTACAGTAGTGTTACAGTAGTGTTACAGTAGTGTTACAGTAGTGTTACAGTAGTGTTACAGTAGTGTTACAGTAGTGTTACAGTAGTGTTACAGTAGTGTTACAGTAGTGTTACAGTAGTGTTACAGTAGTGTTACAGTAGTGTTACAGTAGTGTTACAGTAGTGTTACAGTAGTGTTACAGTAGTGTTACAGTAGTGTTACAGTAGTGTTACTGTAGTGTTACTGTAGTGTTACAGTAGTGTTACAGTAGTGTTACAGTAGTGTTACAGTAGTGTTACAGTAGTGTTACAGTAGTGTTACAGTAGTGTTACAGTAGTGTTACAGTAGTGTTACAGTAGTGTTACAGTAGTGTTACAGTAGTGTTACAGTAGTGTTACAGTAGTGTTACAGTAGTGTTACAGTAGTGTTACAGTAGTGTTACAGTAGTGTTACAGTAGTGTTACAGTAGTGTTACAGTAGTGTTACAGTAGTGTTACAGTAGTGTTACAGTAGTGTTACAGTAGTGTTACAGTAGTGTTACAGTAGTGTTACAGTAGTGTTACAGTAGTGTTACAGTAGTGTTACAGTAGTGTTACAGTAGTGTTACAGTAGTGTTACAGTAGTGTTACAGTAGTGTTACAGTAGTGTTACAGTAGTGTTACAGTAGTGTTACAGTAGTGTTACAGTAGTGTTACACCCCAGCTATAGGAGAGAATGAGCCGACTGGATACCAGCGTCCCCACTACCAGTCCTCCATTGTTAAGAACATTTCTCTAAACGACCCAATAGACACAACCAACCACACAGCAGAGTTTCATCATAGATCTATCATCTGGAGCATGGCCAACAGTAAGTTTAGTTTCCATGACAACAGTAAGTGTAGTTTCCGTGATAACGTTACCATCATTAATTAGCATAGCTTTTTGGATAAATATAAGTATTTAAATGTACGAATTCACCTCCGAATTATTCCGAATTATAGTGTTTTCTGTTTCAGCTGTTGATAAAGAGGACGTGACAGTTACCCTCGTAAAAACAGATCTGCAGTTTCAGTTCTCAGCTGCGTTTAGTAATGTACTGCAGTTCACTGTAAACCCTCGTGTGGACTCCATACAACTAGATACTGTGAGTGTTACAGTAGTTGTACAGTAGTGTTACAGTAGTGTTACAGTAGTTGTACAGTAGTGTTACAGTAGTGTTACAGTAGTGTTACAGTAGTGTTACTGTAGTGTTACTGTAGTGTTACAGTAGTGTTACATTAGTGCTACAGTAGTGTTACAGTAGTGTTACAGTACTTTTCTAATCGACAGAAAATGTTCCTCTATTCTTATCTTTCTAGAAAACGTGATTCACATTGCCAAGCTAACAGAGTAATATGTCCAGGAAAGTAAAGTAAACGGTCTGACTCTGCGAGAAGGGGGGTGGGGTGAGGAGGGCACCACCTCCAACACATTCAGTATTAGAAACGTTCAGAAACTTGTCGGCTCTGTTATTGAGCTCACTATAATATCTGGGTAAGTTTCTTAAATATATAATTATTCTCTACTATAATTATAAGTTTCTCTACTTGGACTCCGCGTGAATTATAATATAAACCTAAGTAAAATAAAGAGTGTTATGCCTCAATACTATGTCGTTTATAAACGACGTGACACATCATTTCTACATCTCTCAGGTGTGAGAGAGGAACAGTGAGAATTGAACGACCTCTCTTTGCTAAGATAACAGCTAACAGAGTGAACTTTGGGAACGTGCTGGTTAATTTAGCGGGGAGTCACAGGCCCGGTATATCCCAGGCTCCTCAACCTCAGCTTGCTAACAGGTAGTTACAGTAGTGTTACAGTGCTGGATGTTAATTTAGCGGGGAGTCACAGGCCCGGTATATCCCAGGCTCCTCAACCTCAGCTTGCTAACAGGTAGTTACAGTAGTGTTACAGTGCTAGATGTTAATTTAGCGGGGAGTCACAGGCCCGGTATATCCCAGGCTCCTCAACCTCAGCTTGCTAACAGGTAGTTACAGTAGTGTTACAGTGCTGGATGTTAACTTAGCGGGGAGTCACAGGCCCGGTATATCCCAGGCTCCTCAACCTCAGCTTGCTAACAGGTAGTTACAGTAGTGTTACAGTGCTTGATGTTAATTTAGCGGGGAGTCACAGGCCCGGTATATCCCAGGCTCCTCAACCTCAGCTTGCTAACAGGTAGTTACAGTAGTGTTACAGTGCTGGATGTTAACTTAGCGGGGAGTCACAGGCCCGGTATATCCCAGGCTCCTCAACCTCAGCTTGCTAACAGGTAGTTACAGTAGTGTTACAGTGCTGGATGTTAACTTAGCGGGGAGTCACAGGCCCGGTATATCCCAGGCTCCTCAACCTCAGCTTGCTAACAGGTAGTTACAGTAGTGTTACAGTGCTGGATGTTAACTTAGCGGGGAGTCACAGGCCCGGTATATCCCAGGCTCCTCAACCTCAGCTTGCTAACAGGTAGTTACAGTAGTGTTACAGTGCTGGATGTTAATTTAGCGGGGAGTCACAGGCCCGGTATATCCCAGGCTCCTCAACCTCAGCTAGCTAACAGGTAGTTACAGTAGTGTTACAGTGCTGGATGTTAACTTAGCGGGGAGTCACAGGCCCGGTATATCCCAGGCTCCTCAACCTCAGCTTGCTAACAGGTAGTTACAGTAGTGTTACAGTGCTGGATGTTAATTTAGCGGGGAGTCACAGGCCCGGTATATCCCAGGCTCCTCAACCTCAGCTTGCTAACAGGTAGTTACAGTAGTGTTACAGTGCTGGATGTTAACTTAGCGGGGAGTCACAGGCCCGGTATATCCCAGGCTCCTCAACCTCAGCTTGCTAACAGGTAGTTACAGTAGTGTTACAGTGCTGGATGTTAACTTAGCGGGGAGTCACAGGCCCGGTATATCCCAGGCTCCTCAACCTCAGCTTGCTAACAGGTAGTTACAGTAGTGTTACAGTGCTGGATGTTAACTTAGCGGGGAGTCACAGGCCCGGTATATCCCAGGCTCCTCAACCTCAGCTTGCTAACAGGTAGTTACAGTAGTGTTACAGTGCTGGATGTTAATTTAGCGGGGAGTCACAGGCCCGGTATATCCCAGGCTCCTCAACCTCAGCTTGCTAACAGGTAGTTACAGTAGTGTTACAGTGCTGGATGTTAACTTAGCGGGGAGTCACAGGCCCGGTATATCCCAGGCTCCTCAACCTCAGCTTGCTAACAGGTAGTTACAGTAGTGTTACAGTGCTGGATGTTAATTTAGCGGGGAGTCACAGGCCCGGTATATCCCAGGCTCCTCAACCTCAGCTTGCTAACAGGTAGTTACAGTAGTGTTACAGTGCTGGATGTTAACTTAGCGGGGAGTCACAGGCCCGGTATATCCCAGGCTCCCCAACCTCAGCTTGCTAACAGGTAGTTACAGTAGTGTTACAGTGCTGGATGTTAATTTAGCGGGGAGTCACAGGCCCGGTATATCCCAGGCTCCTCAACCTCAGCTTGCTAACAGGTAGTTACAGTAGTGTTACAGTGCTGGATGTTAACTTAGCGGGGAGTCACAGGCCCGGTATATCCCAGGCTCCTCAACCTCAGCTTGCTAACAGGTAGTTACAGTAGTGTTACAGTGCTGGATGTTAATTTAGCGGGGAGTCACAGGCCCGGTATATCCCAGGCTCCTCAACCTCAGCTTGCTAACAGGTAGTTACAGTAGTGTTACAGTGCTGGATGTTAACTTAGCGGGGAGTCACAGGCCCGGTATATCCCAGGCTCCTCAACCTCAGCTTGCTAACAGGTAGTTACAGTAGTGTTACAGTGCTGGATGTTAACTTAGCGGGGAGTCACAGGCCCGGTATATCCCAGGCTCCTCAACCTCAGCTTGCTAACAGGTAGTTACAGTAGTGTTACAGTGCTGGATGTTAACTTAGCGGGGAGTCACAGGCCCGGTATATCCCAGGCTCCTCAACCTCAGCTTGCTAACAGGTAGTTACAGTAGTGTTACAGTGCTGGATGTTAACTTAGCGGGGAGTCACAGGCCCGGTATATCCCAGGCTCCTCAACCTCAGCTTGCTAACAGGTAGTTACAGTAGTGTTACAGTGCTGGATGTTAACTTAGCGGGGAGTCACAGGCCTGGTATATCCCAGGCCCCTCAACCTCAGCTTGCTAACAGGTAGTTACAGTAGTGTTACAGTGCTGGATGTTAACTTAGCGGGGAGTCACAGGCCCGGTATATCCCAGGCTCCTCAACCTCAGCTTGCTAACAGGTAGTTACAGTAGTGTTACAGTGCTGGATGTTAACTTAGCGGGGAGTCACAGGCCCGGTATATCCCAGGCTCCTCAACCTCAGCTTGCTAACAGGTAGTTACAGTAGTGTTACAGTGCTGGATGTTAACTTAGCGGGGAGTCACAGGCCCGGTATATCCCAGGCTCCTCAACCTCAGCTTGCTAACAGGTAGTTACAGTAGTGTTACAGTGCTGGATGTTAACTTAGCGGGGAGTCACAGGCCCGGTATATCCCAGGCTCCTCAACCTCAGCTAGCTAACAGGTAGTTACAGTAGTGTTACAGTGCTGGATGTTAACTTAGCGGGGAGTCACAGGCCCGGTATATCCCAGGCTCCTCAACCTCAGCTTGCTAACAGGTAGTTACAGTAGTGTTACAGTGCTGGATGTTAACTTAGCGGGGAGTCACAGGCCCGGTATATCCCAGGCTCCTCAACCTCAGCTTGCTAACAGGTAGTTACAGTAGTGTTACAGTGCTGGATGTTAACTTAGCGGGGAGTCACAGGCCCGGTATATCCCAGGCTCCTCAACCTCAGCTTGCTAACAGGTAGTTACAGTAGTGTTACAGTGCTGGATGTTAACTTAGCGGGGAGTCACAGGCCCGGTATATCCCAGGCTCCTCAACCTCAGCTAGCTAACAGGTAGTTACAGTAGTGTTACAGTGCTGGATGTTAACTTAGCGGGGAGTCACAGGCCCGGTATATCCCAGGCTCCTCAACCTCAGCTTGCTAACAGGTAGTTACAGTAGTGTTACAGTGCTGGATGTTAACTTAGCGGGGAGTCACAGGCCCGGTATATCCCAGGCTCCTCAACCTCAGCTAGCTAACAGGTAGTTACAGTAGTGTTACAGTGCTGGATGTTAACTTAGCGGGGAGTCACAGGCCCGGTATATCCCAGGCTCCTCAACCTCAGCTTGCTAACAGGTAGTTACAGTAGTGTTACAGTGCTGGATGTTAACTTAGCGGGGAGTCACAGGCCCGGTATATCCCAGGCTCCTCAACCTCAGCTTGCTAACAGGTAGTTACAGTAGTGTTACAGTGCTGGATGTTAACTTAGCGGGGAGTCACAGGCCCGGTATATCCCAGGCTCCTCAACCTCAGCTTGCTAACAGGTTACTTCCTCCAACCTTGTTCGGTACAAATTTGTATGGAACTGTGTTTTCTTTTTCTCGTATAAAAAAAGAAAAAATACCTTGATCCGACCCATAGCCGTCTCTTAACAATTCCAATCTTGTCCCTAGAAGTTGCCAACAAGAGGCACCTCAAGTCGACGCAAAAGCTAAACAGAAACTCAAAGAAATTGAAGAGTTCGATAAAAACGTAGCTAAAACAGAATCTAACAAAGAAAATACCAAGCAAGAAAAGGTAGTCCCTAAAAAAGAAGAGTACAAAGTGGTAGAAGAAGTAAACACAGACTCCAAGCTACCCCCACTGGTTAAGAATCATGATGACCGGATAGTTTATCCTTTCGTTGGAGTGTATCTCTTCCTTAAATCAGATGTAAGTGCATTCAACATGACTGTTAATTATCTGTTCGAACTTGGATTATTGAATATGTCACGTGTTATTGACTGTGTCACGTGTTATTGACTATGTCACGTGTTATTGAATATGTCACGTGTTATTGAATATGTCACGTGTTATTGATTGTGTCACGTGTTATTGAATATGTCACGTGTTATTGACTGTGTCACGTGTTCAGGGTGAGAATACAGAGCAAATAGTTGAGATGGTGGGTGGGGAGGCGGCTGAGAGTCACAGAACAGAGCAGCTGTCACGTGTTACCATGACAACAACAGTTCTCAACAAACAGTCATCACAACCTTGGATTGAGGTTATTACGGGGGGGGGGGGGGTATTACGGGGGGAGGGTATTACGGGGCGGGGGGGGGGGTATTACGGGGCGGTGGGGTATTACGGGGGGGGGGGTATTACGGGGCGGTGGGGTATTACGGGGCGGGGGGGGGGTATTACGGGGCGGGGGGGTATTACGGGGCGGGGGGGGGTATTACGGGGCGGGGGGGGGGTATTACGGGGCGGGGGGGGGGTATTACGGGGCGGTGGGGTATTACGGGGCGGGGGGGTATTACGGGGCGGGGGGGGTATTACGGGGGGGTTATTACGGAGCGGGGGGGTATTACGGGGGGTATTACAGGGCGGGGGGGGTTATTACGGGGGGGGGGGGGTATAACGGGAGGGGGGGTATTACGGGGGGTTATTACGGGGGGGGTTATTACGGGGGGGGGGGGGGGTATTACGGGGGGTTATTACAGAGGGGGGTTATTACGGGGGGGGGGGGGTTATTATTTTACATAATTAATAACACCAAAATGATTTATTCCGGAAAAACAGTTTAAATTTATCGCAACTCTCGCTATCCCAAAGTTGCGAGAATACCGTTAAATAAGTGTTAGTGTAGTGGGGGGGGGGGGGGTTAAATAACTAGCTATAACTAAATGTTGTCGTGTGGCGGAATATCCGCAATATTCTAAACTGTTTGTAACAGGTGGTACTGCAAGAAAAGGATTATAGTAAAAGCACGAGGAATATTTTAGAAGGGAAACGTTGGCACGGTTCCAATGTTCTTTACTCCTGTCACGTCATATCCCTTCTCAACATGCTTCAGATGCTGGCTATCAATCATGTGAGTCAAATCATTGTTAGCATTATACTTTTCGCATTTACATTTAGTAGAATTATCGGTCGTGGAAGACCTTAGAAAGCAACAAACTTTCTATTAATAATGTAAATTTGCAGGACATAGCAGAGATGTGGGTTACAGATCATGATAAGTACCGACAAGTTGTACCAGATGAGACTTTAGTAATTGACGTCAACCCCTACTCTCTTCCCGTAGCTTGAAACTAAACAACGTGTTACTAACACGTTACTACTCACTGTTAGTTGGTGCTTTATCAATTCATAATTAATTGCGTCGAACTAGTGCTTAACTTATCATGATAACACGTGTGATTGAGTGATGTTGGTCACGTGACGGAACAAACAAATTCGGCTGCTTCAGCACAGGATATTGCATCAAAACTGTTCGCTATTTATACCTTGTTATGTCGTTTTTGGGGTGTAAAAATAAAGCTGATATTTTAACAAAAAGTTCTGATTTTGTGGCCGAAATTCTAGAGTGAAAACCATTTAGTATCTAAGATTCAATGCTAACATCGTTATTCATTTAAAGTTTTATTTGTACATAAAGTGTACGCGTATAAAGTAAAGACGCATGTTTATACCTGAAGTAATAAACTCATTTTATTGATATTTGAATTTTCATTCGTTTTGTAATTTTTATTTGAACCTTTCGCCTAAGGTTTTCTTATTTTGCCTAAATAAACCTGATATTGATAAAAGTTAAACCTTTCATAGTTATATCCTAGAGACTTCTTTTTATCATGCCAGATTCTTTATTTGAATTCCCCGTTAGACTATACATACTTTAACGGATTTGTTAATATTACTTTTAGTCATCGAAATTATATTTTATCTATTCTACTAATCTGAAACTTAATTAGTTTCATTTTTCACAGCCTGCTCAAAGTATAATGGTGAAACAACTAAAAGTACAGTTCCTATGAATTAGAATCCATGTTGATATGAAGTTCACATTGAAATCGAATAAATGATAATGTTTAAATTAAATTTAAAACAGTGTAATTTGAATTGTGGTAGTTTTGAACAAAGCAAGTAATAATCATGATATTGAGATAATGATAATGAACTTAATTTGTCCCGAGTCATGGCTTTCGAGGGGATGGATGATGATTAATCACTCTACACTCGACTGTCAAGTGACTTCTTTAACACGTTCTTTAGGTGGCCCTGAATGACTATTCGAAACATCAACCCTCTACAGTGACCCCAACGCCGACCCAATTCCTAACGGAAGCTAATTATGCTAAAACTTAAAATATTTAAGTCCTCTCACTTTTTCTTGCAGAAAGAGTGAGAGGGCTTAAATTAAGTGTCATTATAGAAGATATGAAGAGAGTCGGCGGAAAGATGAATTGAGCAGAAATAAGAGGGAGATGCAGGGTAGAGAAAATGTGTAAGGGTCTGCCCACACTACGCCTCTATTCCCCGAATTTTAAAAATCCGTGCCAGAATTCCCCGAGAGTTTCCACGCCAACTGGCGGGAGCTCTGCCCACACTACGCGCCTCGTTGTGTGAATCCGGTTTTTTGACCCACGCCATGTGGCCCGTAAAAACATGGCGTGGTGTGGGCAGATATTCAGGGAATAGAGGCGTAGTGTGGGCAGCCCCTAACAACAAAAGTAAGTGAGAAGAAGGAGATAATCATAAAGTGGAAATGAATTGTGTCATAACACTAACAGAGGGGGGGGGGGGAGAAGGATGTTTTGTGTGGGCGAGATGGACAGACTTAAATTTAAATTGGGGTGGGATTCTAGCCACAGCCGTATTTTATGCCATGTTTAAGTAGCCGAAGAATCCAGGTCCAAGGTTGCAACTATGCATGCATATAATTCATCTGGTGGGTCAGTATTATTAGTGTTAATGATTGTGAGTTAATACACACTTGTGTGTAACACAGCAGCTGATATAATAAGGCATGTAATGTGTAGTACAATGTACAAGTAGTGAATTGTTGGGATTGAGTTGTCGGCGAGATTCAGATAGCTTAATGGTATATAATAGCACCTGACTGGTTTTCGGGTTCACATAGCCATGTGTCTACGCGTACTGCGTGACACGCTTGTTTCACAAGTAGAATCCTGTGCCGCCTTCGGCGGTCGCGCGCTACTGCAACTGCAAGCGAGTGGACTCTGGTTAGAGCAAACTTAAATTAAGTGTCCTCTACTTTGTGTCATTATAGAAGATAGGAGAGTCGTCGGAAAGATGTATTGAGCGGGCGAGATGAGCAGAAATAAGTGAGAAGGGGAAGATGCAGGGTACATAAAAACTGTGTAATGAAAAAGGAAGTGAGATTGAGAAAAAGTTATGACATAATTTATCTCGATCTTTTTCATTACACAGTTTTTCTGTACCCTCTTCTCACTTCTCGCCCGCTCAATACATCATTCCGCCGACCAGTGGCGTAACGTTGCCTGTTGGCAAAAAATCGCTCGCCCAAATTTAAAAAAAATTCTTGTGAAAAGGCCCTTTGGGCATGAAAGTGATCTAGATCGGTGTATTTTGGACGCTGATTCCGAATCACCCCCCATTACGTAGGGTTAAAATGCTTCCCTGGAGAGTTATGGGCAAAAAACCGTTTTGGTCACGTGACAGGCTAGTAAAATACGAATTCGATTGTTTAGGGCCTGGGTTAGGGTTAGGATTGTGTTAAGGGTTATGGTTAGCTTCGGGGTTATGGTTAGGGTTAGGATTGGGATTCCGATTAGGGTTTATGTAAAACCGTTTTGTACGGCTGCAAACCCATAAAAACCAAAGTCACGTGAAATTTTTGGGCGAGCGAATTAGTAAGAGCTTCCGAAAATACATCGATTCAAGTTGGTTTCAACTGTCGGGGGCCAGCCCTTTTATATTTATAGCAGGAACCCGTCTAACCCTAAAGTGGTCATGGTGTAAAGATTTAGAGACTGAAATAATTATTACCTATTTAAATCGCGTTTTTGACACTACTTGGGGATCCAAATTTTGGGCACTAAAATTCTTATTTCATGGCAAATTTTTTTTAAATGCTGATTTGAAAAGCATAAAAGCATTTGACCCAGTCAAAAAGGTTTCAGTTGTATATTTTTACGGTTTTTGCGGAAAGTTGCGTTAAAGTTGATGCCGTGGTGTCAGTATCTGTATAGTAAAATGGCACAGATCCATCCATCCATATATATCGTCTTGCTTTGTATTACCTGAGGACCCCAGGCTATTATGTTCATTAACATAAATAAAGATTTGGCGGAATGACAGGCTGAGCGCGGCCCAGTAAGCTTTGTAGCGCGATGCATTGATTCACGATGTCAATCCTTCGGAGCCCGGTGAGGCACCGTGCATGGTGCATCTCGCCGATCTACCGAAGAGGTTGCGAGAAGAATTATTTGATGCGCGGCGCGACCCAGTAGTGCATCGCGCTACAACGCGATGCACTACTGGGTCGCGCGCGCATCCAATTATGCAGATCGGCAAGATGTGATCGTGAATCAAACTTGGTAAACTAGCAACAGTTTACCAATGCGAGCTCTTTGCTCTCCACATGGCTAGTATTTGGATCAATGAAAATATAGGTACAACATCAATCATAAATCTTTTCTCAGATTCCCAGGCCTCACTACTAGCGATTACCAGCACCAGCATCAGCTCCAGACTAGTGCTGGACATTGCTGACCAACTTAACACATTAGGTACATCCCACAAAGTAGAACTCAGGTGGGTCCCAGGACATGAAGGAGTACACGGTAATGAACTAGCTGACGAACTAGCAAGGGAGGGATCCAGCAGCACCCCCATTGGACCTGAACCCTTCCTCCCACTCTCGGAAGGTATAATCAACAACCATATAATTATAAAAGATTACCTCTTCAATCTCCATATCAAGAAGTATAAACAGGTGGCACTCAGTGATAAAGGAAAACCCCACTAACATTTTTCCTCAACAAAAACAGGTACAAGATAATCAACATCACAGGTACTCACATCAGATGGCTAACATGGCTACTATCAGGACACAGCCCACTAGCATACTTCCAGACGGTAGCAAACAACGCCAACTTCGAAACACAAGACTGTGAACACTGCCCAGGGGAAGCAGAAACATCACAACACTTCCTATGTGAATGCATCCAGCTGATGACAACTAGATTGAGGATATTTGGTAAAACCATCCTAACAATTGAGGAACTCATCAATAGTAAACTCGACCACATTATCAAATTTGTGGAACAGTCAACAAGGTTTGATAGAGACGATCTATTTGGATAAGCACCTAGGACATACACCAAGGTTCATAAACAATCATACATTAGACCCACACAGGACTATCTCAGATAGTGACACATATCCAGTGGACCATGCTTGGAAGTCCCCGCCTGCCCGCCGAAGAAGAACATCTGAAGCGGGTTTGCTCTGAGCAAGGTAGTAACAGCTTCGAGACTCCAGAGGTCTGTTGCGTTGATATCTATTATTCTATGTTTTTGTATATACTTAGGGAGTCCTGGAGTGTGGCTAGCAGGAGTCACACTCTGTGGGCACGGCGAGAAGGCCTCCCTCTTCACTAGGAGGCCAGAAACCGTTGACCAAACCAGAGAGAGAGAGAGAGACATCGTGAATCAACGTCTTGCTTTATATATAGTAAGATATTAGAACTATCTCGACGATCGACTGTAAAGTGATTTAGCACGGTAAAATTTCAGTCCTAAAAATTGTATGTTCAAAAACTGAAAATGGAACAGAATTTGGAACAATATGACATGATTTTAAAATTTTGTTCGGAATTTTGACTTCCAGTACCTCAATTTATTCATTTATTGATTAATTGGTCTTTGAGCAAAAATTCCATCCAATCTGTCAAATTAATTGTGTTCAGAAAATTTGTCCGTTCAAAATTTTTTCAAAAATGTTAAATGTTTAAAGTTACGTATGGTATGGAAGCGCATGTGTGTAAAAAAAATAATGATACACGATTACGAATGACAAATGGATGTTTTAGCAAAAATTGAAGGACTTCGCCGCTTCGACGCGCCGCGCAAACTAACATTCTTGCTTTACTTCGCAGAGCAACGATCTGGAAGGATTGACATCGTCAATCAAAGTGCAAAGCAGAAAAAGAGGAATTTTGGAGATCCAAGATCGCGGGAAGGTAGATTTAGGTTTCGTGTCTATCCGTCACAATTTGCTCTGCTTCGCACAGCAACGATCTCGATGCGAAGCAAGAATGCTAGTTTGCGCGGCGCGTCGAAGCGGCGAAGTTCTCCAAAGATACTAAATGAGATGACAATGAGGGTCACGACGTGATACAAAAGATTTGTACTTGTATAATACTGCATGTAGTCAGTGCATGCACGGTTCACCTAACCATGTGCTTTCGCGCCGCTGCGGATGCGCTTGTTTCACAAGTCAAGAAAGCAGGCGCGCGCTACTGCAAGCGCAAGGGCTCTGGATAGAGCAACATGTACGGTGGGCGTGTATTTTAATGTATAATGAAATAAACCCAATTTGTAAGTGACTACTATATAATACTTGATGTGTGTAACTGTAATGTGTAAGACATGAGTATATAGTTCACTTTTTGCATCCAATTCCTTAAATAATACAGCAATTGTGAATTGAATTGGATCGATCACAAGTGTTTCCCGTATTTAAAGCATATAATATTATAAAGTTATCTGATCACAACAAAAAACGGGCGCAATTCTTGTTATATTTGAAAATGGGACAGAATTTAGAAAATAATAATTTTTGTTTCGTTAAGCTTTCTGTAGTGAGCTTCCTCCGACTTGGAGGACTTCGCCGCTTCGACGCGCCGCGCAAACTAGCATTCTTGCTTCGCATCGAAGAGCAAAAATCTGGAAGGGTTGACATCGTCAATCAACCTCTGACCTCCGACCGAAATTAAACTTCCAGTACCTCAATCGTGTTATATGCCATTTATAGTTGACTGACTAATTGGTTGCGGCCTGCGGGTGAGAAATTCATGGTAAAAACCAAAAACTGAAAAATTTCGGTCCTGGAAATTTCATTTTCAAAAACTGAAAATGGGACAGAATTTGAGACAATATGATTTTTAAATTTTCCGGGATTTAAATCCCGGAAAATTTAAAAATGAGCCGTCCGCTCATGCCTATATATAGTCATCGTGTCCATAGATACGTGAAGCGACGCGTATCCATAGATACGTGTAGCGACGCGCAAGTTATTCTATTATGAATTCATTTTGTTCGGCGCGCGGCGTAAGAATTTATTTTGACCATATAAATGTTCATAACTTTTTATGAGAACCTGTGCTGAGTTTTTTGAGAAGGGCGACATTCGATTGAGCATTTTTGCTATCCAATGGTATAAAATGTAGCACCAGCGCAATTATCGCTCAATAATCTTATTTCTACGCGCAGCTCTCAGGGGGGGGGGGGGGGGGGGGGGCTGAAACCAGGTTTTCGATCAAACGCTGCCATTTGTAGTCAAACGTCGCCAACAGTTGCTCTCGTCCAATGAAATCGCTGCATTTTGCCTGCCATTATGCATAATTGAATTACATATATTCGTATGCGTGGCTTGGATTTCATAATGCAGCGATTTCATTGGACGAGAGCAACTGTTGGCGACGTTTGACTACAAATGGCAATGTTTGATCGAAAACCTGGTTTCAGCTCCCCCTGGGCCCCAGGTAACCCTAACCACAACCCTAACCCTAACCCAAGCCCTAAACAATCTTACTGGGCCGCGCTCAGCCTGTCATTCCGCCAAATCTTTAATTAAAATTAGTTAATGAACATAATAGCCTGGGGTCCTCAGGTAATAAACAATCGAATTCATCTTTTACTACTACTAGCCTGTCACGTGACCAAAACGGTTTTTTGCCCTTAACTCTCCAGGGAAGCATTTTTACCCTACGTCATGGGGAGTGACTCGGAATCAGCGTACAAAATACACCGATTCAGATCAATTTCATACCCATAGGGTCTTTTCACAAGAATTTTCTTAAAATTTGGGCGAGCGATTTAGTAGGACATAGGAGCGACTAATTGGTCGTCGGACCGAATTTGGGATTTGATTGGTCGACAATTAATACGTCATATCTTAGTCTTAGGATGTATAGGTACCAAATGAAAAAGCCTTTCAGGTGTCTGAATGAAAATAAAAATAAAATCTGAAGTGACAATCATCATACAGGAGTCAAATAGCGGGGTTATTCGTTCTATGTACAATGTAATGTAATGTACATTACATTTGAACTGTCGTTCACCTAATGTTTAAACCCAATAAATATTAATAACACTCAAGGTTTAAACTTAAAGAATAACACTCAACTTAGAATAAATGATAAAGGAACATAAATCTCAGATAGTTAAAATGTACAACTTCATAAATCTCAGATCGGTGGAGCTGTCTATCTATCTGATGGAGGTACTAAAGAATCAGGGACTTAAAGTTCTAGAATCAATAATGCACCGCAATCTGCAGTAAAATCCGGATAAAACCTTTGCTAAACGCTATCAACAATCAATAGATCCGCATCATAACTGAAAACTTAGACAAATAGCAATTTAAATAAATCTAACAGGAGAGCTGTTATAGGTCAGAAGACTCGCTTTATACTCAGTAAACCACTCAGTGTACAAATATAAACGTAGCTTTACAACTCAAATAATAAATTAAGTGGGGTTGGGGCGGTTAGTTCTACTTAAGACTGACTCAGTGGGGCTGGGGTGGTTAGTTCTACTTAAGACTGACTCAGTGGGGCTGGGGGTGGTAAGTCCTAAACTGTATGCCGGGTGTGAGTTGTCTCCACCACCGCCAGGATTTGCCGGGACACTGCCCGTTGTCTGATAACCATAGTATAAAGGTGTAAAAGAAAAGGTAAGCGAGGAAGAGGAGCAGGGCCCATCTGAGGAGAGTGGAGCACCAGGAGGGGGGTCTGAAATAAGAGGTTAGGTTAGAGGACTGAGATGTGAGGTATCTGTCTGTTTGGTTAGAGGACTGAGATGTGAGGTGTCTGTCTGTTTGTCTGTCTGTTTGTCTGTGTGTTTCTTTGCGTGCCAGTATTTCTGTGTTAAGTGATAAGTCTGTGTTTTGTTTAGTAAGTTCTGTGATAGACTGTGAACAAGTTAGACATACTTGAAACTTCTCAGTAATGTTGTTCAAATCTACACTACAAATACTACATTGTTTATTGGTTGAGATATTATCATGTTTGTCTGAACTGTTTCTGAGACGACTATTCTGTGACGGCACGTGCGCGCGGCACCCTGCCACGTGGTGATCACGTGACGTTGCGCGGCGCGATATCACGTGATTAACATGAGACTGAACGCCCTTCTCCACCACACACTGTTCACTTGAGCTCTGAGCTTCATATTTGTCATCTTTGACTGCTTTAGAGCACCCACAATGACTTAGATTCAGGGATATATTGATGGGTTCCTTCGAGGCCTTTCTAGATTTCAGCTCAGAATCTGATTTAGCAGTGAAAGTCACGTGTCTGCTTGGGGCTCTTACAGTGAGCTCTGAATCTGTTACACTATGCTCAGCTTTACGAGCTTTACCACCGGAGTTGTGTATGTCTGTGTTAATATCGGTACTTTTGTCTGCACGTTGGAGGAAATGAGCGTCCCTAAGCTCACTTATAGAGGTAGATTTATGGGTAACGAGCTTAATTCTAGTTTTGTGTTTAGTTTTAGTTTTGTGTCTGTTTGTTTGTCTGTCTGTGTGTCTGTTTGTTGCCTTGTCATGTTTTATCTGTTCAACTTGACCGTCTGTTTGGTCTGTGTCTGTAACTGTTATTTCAGTGGTTTCTGATACTTTCTGTTTTCGTGGCTTCTTACTAAAATATACATTGTTTTTAACATCTGAGAGCCGAATTAGATAACAGGTCATGAGTTCTTCGATCACAAATGAAGGAATGTGCCAAATTAAATCGCGACAAACTAATTGAATATAAATAACTAATTGAATATAAATAACTAATTGAATATAAATAACTAATTGAATATAAATAACTAATTGATGTATAAATAACTAATTGAATATAAATAACTAATTGCTGTATAATTACAATAATTAAACTGATAAAAGGTATACTGACGGTGCTGGTTGATTGAGAACCTCTCCTATTTTAGTGTTGAGACAAGTCACCGCCTCAGCTAAATTACATTGCTGGTTTCTTAGCTTGTTCAGCTCCTGCGCTATCATACTGAAAATAGAAAAGTTAGTTAACTTATACTCTAGTAGCTTGTTCAGCTCCTGCGCTATCATACTGAAAATAGAAAAGTTAGTTATAAACTTATACTCTAGTAGCAGGGAGGGGTATGATATGAAACTGAACGTCTACCACCCTACGAGCCATCAGGCTGCAAATAGGCACTATGAACGTACACTTTATCTTTCTTGTGGGAAGGTGAGGAGGAACTTGCTTTCAACTCCGGAACTTTCCCAATTTTCTGAGCCTTCTCATCGACATTCTGATTCTTGATATCCCCGGTTTGTCCCTCCTCATGACCGGGTAGTGTTTTATTCCTGCCGTACACTTTCCTGAATCCAGAGTGCTCATTAGCTGCCTCGTGAACCGTACTGTTCGGCCCGGCTGGTTGTGACATGTCACCTACACCCCCTCTACCTGACTGTAGATCTGTTCTCATTCTACCAAACAACTTGGCATTAAGTGCAACACTTTTAAAAGTAGGAGCTGTTCTGCTGCTAAAAGAATTGTTCATAACACTGTGTTCGTTTCGGGTGGAATCAGGATATTTTGATCTGCACCGAGAGGCTACAGTTCTCCACTTAGAGACTACAGTAGAGTTCCCTGCCCCAGCTGCAGCTCTACTAGTTGGGGGTAGTGTTGTGTGAGTCAGCACCTTTCTCCAAGGGTTACTCTGTTGTCGAGCCGATAGTAAAACTGAGTTCAATCCACCAGATACTCCTAGAGCGGGGGCCTTCTCCCCAGGGGTGTAGGAAGCGCTACTACACCCCTGCTTTTCCCTTCTCCCTAACTTGCGAAACGGCCCTTTACTTGTATCATCATCTTTTGTCCTCATCTGTGCGCCCACGTGCGTGCGTCTCATCTGTGACTCCCTACTTTCAATTTCTTTTTCACTCACCCGGCGCTCTTTCACTATAATGTTTTCAGTGTCAGTGAAATGTTCTTCGGTTTCACTCCACTTCACTCTCTTCTGATGTGGTTCACTCTGTATCACTTCACTTTCACCAACTCTCAGGGACTCAAAGTACTGCAGCAAAGTCTGAACACTTCCAGTACTTGCATAGGACACGTCAGAGTTACGAGACTCTCCACTTTGAGAGGGGGGATCTTCAAGAGTTACGAGACTCTTCACTTTGAGAGGGGGGATCTTCAAGAGTTACGAGACTCTTCACTTTGAGAGGGGGGATCTTCAAGAGTTACGAGACTCTTCACTTTGAGAATTGAGACGCGCGCACGTGGGCGCACTTTGAGAGGGGGGGGTCTTCAAGAGTTTCACTTTGCAGGTCCACTTTTAGTTATGCAGAGAGATTTGCAACGGTAACACAAGGGGGCCAAGTGACAAAAAGCAAAAAGTGAGGTAATATAGCCGTGTTTTTATTTTAGGAAAGTGTTTGGCTTGCACTGTTTGTACTTTGTATACAGTAATGTTGTGCAAAATACAAACAGAATGCCTACAATGACCGAATATATCACTATTATTTCGTAATACGTGACTTTACAAATGGTTATCGGATAAATAAATGAACCTGCCCATATCAGGTATTTCTAATCACAAGATGTAATGCCCATATAAGGTATTGCTAATCACGAGATGTAATGCCCATATAAGGTATTACTAATCACGAGATGTAATGCCCATATAAGGTATTGGCATTACTAATCACGAGATGTAATGCCCATATAAGGTATTACTAATCACGAGATGTAATGCCCATATAAGGTATTACTAATCACGAGATGTAATGCCTATATAAGGTATTGCTAATCACGAGATGTAATGCCCATATAAGGTATTGCTAATCACGAGATGTAATGCCCATATAAGGTATTGCTAATCACGAGATGTAATGCCCATATAAGGTATTACTAATCACGAGATATAATGCCCATATAAGGTATTGCTGACCTGTCGTCAGCAGGGGACACAACGTTCCACAAGTTAGCACTGTCCTCTAAGTTCTGTCTCCAAGAGAGAGTGTTATCTTTCACTCCTTCTAAGTTCTTATCTAACTCTTCAAAAACTCCAAGCAACTGCTTTAGTTCACCTGAAGATAACAATCAGTTAACTTTCTCAATGTTCCTTCTTCTAACATATTGTTACAATGCCATTCGTGAAATTACTCATAAACAAGTCATATATTAAACTAATATCCCAACTTACCAGAATCTTCCTCGTATTCGATATCCTGAAGTTTAGCCTTCAAGTCGTGGAGATTGCAGCGTCGCTCGCGCAATTCCTCCGCAAAGTTCTTATATCTTATCAAATCAGCTGCTGTATCGTCAACACTCCCTGTACAGAGGAATTATAGTTGCCATGGTAACAACGAGATAATGTGAATAATACAAGGTACCAAGGTTAAGTTGGTTGTGGACTTTTCAGTTTATATAATGTTTTTAATATTTAATTTAAAAAAGTAACAAAACAAGGCAACTATTAGAGTTGCTGAGCGTTACAATGCGTAACAATGCAACTATTAGAGTTGCTAAGCGTTACAATGCGTAACAAGGCAACTATTAGAGTTGCTAAGCGTTACAATGCGTAACAAGGCAACTATTAGAGTTGCTAAGCGTTACAATGCGTAACAAGGCAACTATTAGAGTTGCTAAGCGTTACAATGCGTAACAAGGCAACTATTAGAGTTGCTAAGCGTTACAATGCGTAACGATGGTAACCACTAACCTGAATGTACGGATAGTTCGTCTCCAGCAGGTATAGCTACTTTAGCGTCGTTTAGCCACTGTTTAAGCTCCCTGGTTCCTTCGTCAATATCCTACATAGACCAATAGGTTAGTAATAAGTAATGGTTACTATAGAGGTTACTACTGGTTACTATAGTTGTTACTACTGGTTACTATGGTGGTTACTACTGGTTACTATAGTTGCTACTACTGGTTACTATAGTGGTTACTACTGGTTACTATGGTGGTTACTACTGGTTACTATAGTGGTTACTACTGGTTACTATAGTGGTTACTACTGGTTACTATAGTTGTTACTACTGGTTATTATGGTGGTTACTACTGGTTACTATAGTTGCTACTACTGGTTACTATAGTGGTTACTACTGGTTACTATGGTGGTTAATAAAGGTCCTTTAAAGGCTAAAAGTAGTTAGTAGTAGTTACTGTTAGCAACTAATCGGAATAATTGCCACGATGGCTTTGACAGCGCAAAACGTTACGGTTTTGGTTTAGTATGAGACTGTTTTGTCAACCTAACCTCTAACCTAACTTAACGGCGTGAGAAGTGTTATTAAATTAGTAACCCCACTATTGGTGTTACCCCACTATGCCGACAGTCGAGTTCTTAAGAGATATTGGGTAGAGTTTAATAGAACTAAAAACCAAGAACTGAACAAATATCAAGACATATTACTACCGCTAAGAATCGTTTTGAGCAAAACAACGACACGAAGTTGACAATTCCATTAAAATATGCCTATGTGAAGAGGGAAGTAACTGCTAAAAATACATTAATAATGCAGGCTACTACACAGGAGTAATAACGTGGAAATAATACGAGCCAATAGGGAAAGTGAGGAGAAGTTGTCATGGAAACAGTGTGACACACAGCCAATAGTACTAAGCTAAGAGCTGAAAGCGTACCGCCACTGGTGGGATGGTCATGTTGTAGCTAACAGAACAGTAGCTACAAGAAGCAGAGAGGTAAAAGAAGCAGAGAGGTAAAAGTGTAGGTTAGAAGGTTAATGTAGTAGCAGGAAACAGAGCTAGTAATTACAGCAGGTACTTCTAAACTTCTAGCTAATGCAGGCTACTAGCGTACTCTCAGGTATACGGGAGGAACCTGGTAATACACAGGAGTAATAATGCAGGCTACTAACGTACTCTCAGGTATACGGGAGGAACCTGGTAATACACAAGAGTAATAATGCAGGCTACTAACGTACTCTCAGGTATACGGGAGGAACCTGGTAATACACAGGAGTAATAATGCAGGCTACTAGCGTACTCTCAGGTATACGGGAGGAACCTGGTAATACACAGGAGTAATAATGCAGGCTACTAACGTACTCTCAGGTATACGGGAGGAACCTGGTAATACACAAGAGTAATAATGCAGGCTACTAACGTACTCTCAGGTATACGGGAGGAACCTGGTAATACACAGGAGTAATAATGCAGGCTACTAGCGTACTCTCAGGTATACGGGAGGAACCTGGTAATACACAGGAGTAATATGTAGTAAAGAGATGCAATGGTCTGCACAAGAGCAACAAGAAATGGAATGTGATACAGGAAATGGAATGTGATATATATTATATAGTCAGCTGGTGGATATAGGAACGATACAATTTACAAAGGAATGATACACAACTGAGATAAGATCGGTGGATGAGGGATCATAAGTTTAAGCGTCCTAATACTATAATAGACTGTACTATACACTAATTACTAGCAGTAAAGCAGGGACTTAGAATGATATGTAATACAGCGCCTGTAAGATGGTAATATAATCTAGTGCCTATATTATCATTATAAGACAAAGGTAATTCACCGCATATTATACTACTGCTATGCCAATACGCTTAAAATGCCTATATTAGTAGACTAGATAAGCTCGTATAACTAGCTATAACTATATTAGAAGACTGCTCGTATAACTACTCTAATACATTGCCTATATAATTACACTGTTATACAATGATTAGCCAGAGAGAGAGAGAGAGAGAGAGAGAGAGAGAGAGAGAGAGAGAGAGAGAGAGAGAGAGAGAGAGAGAGAGAGAGAGAGAGAGAGAGAGAGAGAGAGAGAGAGAGAGAGAGAGAGAGAGAGAGAGAGAGAGAGAGAGAGAGAGAGAGAGAGAGAGAGAGAGAGAGAGAGAGAGAGAGAGAGGATCAGGTTATTATATATCAGACTAACCAACAGCGATCTTTTACATCAGCTTTGTTGCGGTCAAAATCAAAGGAGGGTGTAACATTTCAGGGGATCAGTAGCTCAAAGGAGGGTGTAACATTTCAGGGGATCAGAAGCTCAAAGGAGGGTGTAACATTTCAGGGGATCAGTAGCTCAAAGGAGGGTGTAACATTTCAGAGGATCAGTAGATCAAAGGAGGGTGTAACATTTCAGGGGATCAGTAGCTCAAAGGAGGGTGTAACATTTCAGGGGATCAGTAGCTCAAAGGAGGGTGAAACATTTCAGGGGATCAGTAGCTCAAAGGAGGGTGTAATATTTCAGGGGATCAGTAGCTCAAAGGAGGGTGTAACATTTCAGGGGATCAGTAGCTCAAAGGAGGGTGTAACATTTCAGAAGATCAGTAGCTCAAAGGAGGGTGTAACATTTCAGGGGATCAGTAGCTCAAAGGAGGGTGTAACATTTCAGGGGATCAGTAGCTCAAAAAGGGGGGAACATTTCAGGGGATCAGTAGCTCAAAGGAGGGTGTAACATTTCAGGGGATCAGTAGCTCAAAGGAGGGTGTAACATTTCAGGGGATCAGTAGCTCAAAAAGGGGGGAACATTTCAGGGGATCAGTAGCTCAAAGGAGGGTGTAACATTTCAGGGGATCAGTAGCTCAAAGGAGGGTGTAACATTTCAGGGGATCAGTAGCTCAAAGGAGGGTGTAATATTTCAGGGGATCAGTAGCTCAAAGGAGGGTGTGACATTTCAGGGGATCAGTAGCTCAAAGGAGGGTGTAACATTTCAGGGGATCAGTAGCTCAAAGGATGGTGTAACATTTCAGGGGATCAGTAGCTCAAAGGAGTGTGTAACATTTCAGGGGATCAGTAGCTCAAAGGATGGTGTAACATTTCAGGGGATCAGTAGCTCAAAGGAGGGTGTAACATTTCAGGGGATCAGTAGCTCGAAGGAGGGTGTAACATTTCAGGGGATCAGTAGCTCAAAGGAGGGTGTAACATTTCAGGGGATCAGTAGCTCGAAGGAGGGTGTAACATTTCAGGGGATCAGTAGCTCAAAGGAGGGTGTAACATTTCAGGGGATCAGTAGCTCAAAGGAGGGTGTAACATTTCAGGGGATCAGTAGCTCAAAGGAGGGTGTAACATTTCAGGGGATCAGTAGCTCAAAGGAGGGTGTAATATTTCAGGGGATCAGTAGCTCGAAGGAGGGTGTAACATTTCAGAGGATCAGTAGCTCAAAGGAGGGTGTAACATTTCAGGGGATCAGTAGCTCGAAGGAGGGTGTAACATTTCAGGGGACCAGTAGCTCAAAGGAGGGTGTAACATTTCAGGGGATCAGTAGCTCAACTAAACAAGATCAAATGGAATTTTATCAAGCCGTTCTTTACTCAAAGGTAAAAGCACAAAAAGTTTATTTCATGAGGTCGAAAAACTTCTGGAGAGCAAAAACCGTTTTCAAGGAATGTACAAATTTAAAAAATTCCGCGAAATGTTCCAAAAGGAAGGAAAATGACCACTGATTACTTATTAAAATGGTACAAAGAAATTACCTCTGTTCCGAGTCTGTGAAGCAAAACGGGGAATCTTAGTTAACTACTAAAGTTACAGCTGGAACCGAAATAGATCAGCGTTAAATAAAACCAGATTGAGAGTTCACGTCACCATGGTAACAACCACTAGTTGGCATACCATGACAACCACTACCAGGTGTATTGCAGCTTAATTACATATTATCTCTGTTATGTGCGACTCATGACATGTCTGTAGAGTAAAATACGATCGAGTTAAAGTATGGAACACTGCCATAATACAATGCTGCCATAATACAATACTGCAACAACTAACTTTAAGCACGACTTTATTGCGATCATGTTTTGTTGTTAATACCCCTGTGTCTGTACTAGTATAAAGGGATGACTCAGCACGTCAAGTTACTAATAGTCTCACTATTAGGTACATTAGAGACATTGTACTGTACACAATACAGTACACTTGACAGATAGGTACATTAGAGACATTGTACTGTACACAATACAGTACATTGTACCGTACACAATACATTGTACTGTACACAATACAGTACACTTGACAGATAGGTACATTAGAGACATTGTACTGTACACAATACAGTACACTTGACAGATAGGTACAACTTATCTCATGACTTATCGGCAAAGAAGGAGGAAAATAAAAAGAATGTTATTTTATAGTTAATAATGTGGACACATTAGATAGTTAGTCCATGCTACTAATTTGTAATTAATAAGTAACATGAGAGGTGCATATTACTAGTATAACTAGCTATAACTACTCTAATATTACTCCTATTTACTCCATAGTTACCAGGTAGTTACTATGGAGAAACTATTGAGAAACTAATGTGTTACTAGGGAGACATTAAGGGGGTAACTATTGAGTAACTACATGTGTTACTAGGGAGACATTAAGGGGGTAACTATTGAGTAACTACATGTAGATGCTAATGAGTTACTATGGAGACATTAAGGGGGTAACTATTGAGAAACTACATGTAGATGCTAATGTGTAACTATGGAGACATTAAGTGGGTAACTATTGATTAACTACATGTAGATGCTAATGTGTTATTAAGGGGGTAACATGTATATGCTAATGTGTTATTACAAAAACGCTAGTAAGTAACTGCTAACCTGCCATACACTCAGTAGAGCGTTAATGTTCTCAGATCTGTTCGGTATTTCCTCTTCTACTATCTTCCACCTGTTAGTGAGTTAGCTTTCATTACACATTACACTACTCACTGTTACTCTGTGTGATGTGTGTAAGAAGTTACTGAACATGTGCGCGGTTACCATAACAACTGGTGGTTACTATAACAACTGGTGGTTACCATAACAACTGGTGGTTACTATAACAACTGGTGGTTACCATAACAACTGGTGGTTACTATAACAACTGGTGGTTACTATAACAACTGGTGGTTACTATAACAACTGGTAGTTACTATAACAACTGGTGGTTACTATAACAACTGGTGGTTACTATAACAACTGGTGGTTACTATAACAACTGGTGGTTACTATAACAACTGGTGGTTACTATAACAACTGGTGGTTACTATAACAACTGGTGGTTACTATAACAACTGGTGGTTACTATAACAACTGGTGGTTACTATAACAACTGGTGGTTACTATAACAACTGGTGGTTACCATAACAACTGGTGGTTACTATAACAACTGGTGGTTACCATAACAACTGGTGGTTAATATAACAACTGGTGGTTACCATAACAACTGGTGGTTAATATAACAACCGGTGGTTACTATAACAACTGGTGGTTACTATAACAACTGGTGGTTACTATAACAACTGGTGGTTACCATAACAACTGGTGGTTACTATAACAACAGTATTCCCAACTAACCTGGTGTCCAGATTGTCCATCCTCTCCTCCAGCTCTGCAAAGTCACAGTTGTTGATGTAGAATGTTCCCTTCTCACACAGTTCCTCGTACAATGCATCTCTGGTTCTGATACCGTTCTCTAAATCCTGCACATTTTAGACAGATAATTCAGTGCATATCCGAGATAATTCAGTGCACATCCGAGATAATTCAGTGTATATCCGAGATAATCCAGTGCGCATCCGAGATAATTCAGTGCATATCCGAGATAATTCAGTGCATATCCGAGATAATTCAGTGCGCATCCGAGATAATTCAGTGCATATCCGAGATAATTCAGTGCATATCCGAGATAATTCAGTGCATATCCGAGATAATTCAGTGCGCATCCGAGATAATTCAGTGCGCATCCGAGATAATTCAGTGCGCATCCGAGATAATTCAGTGCGCATCCGAGATAATTCAGTGCACATCCGAGATAATTCAGTGCACATCCGAGATAATTCAGTGCACATTCGAGATAATTCAGTGCACATTCGAGATAATTCAGTGCACATTCGAGATAATTCAGTGCACATCCGAGATAATTCAGTGCATATCCGAGATAATTCAGTGCATATCCGAGATAATTCAGTGTGCATCCGAGATAGTTCAGTGCGCATCCGAGATAATTCAGTGCGCATCCGAGATAATTCAGTGCGCATCCGAGATAATTCAGTGCGCATCTGAGATAATTCAGTGAACATCCGAGATAATTCAGTGCACATTCGAGATAATTCAGTGCACATTCGAGATAATTCAGTGCACATTCGAGATAATTCAGTGCACATCCGAGATAATTCAGTGCACATCCGAGATAATTCAGTGCACATCTGAGATAGTTCAGTGTGCATCCGAGATAGTTCAGTGCGCATCCGAGATAATTCAGTGCGCATCCGAGATAATTCAGTGCGCATCCGAGATAATCCAGTGCGCATCTGAGATAATTCAGTGAACATCCGAGATAATTCAGTGCGCATCCGAGATAATTCAGTGCACATCCGAGATAATTCAGTGCATATCCGAGATAATCCAGTGCGCATCTGAGATAATTCAGTGAACATCCGAGATAATTCAGTGCGCATCCGAGATAATTCAGTGCACATCCGAGATAATTCAGTGAACATCCGAGATAATTCAGTGCATATCCGAGATAATTCAGTGAACATCCGAGATAATTCAGTGCACATCCGAGATAATTCAGTGCACATCCGAGATAATGCAGTGCACATCCGAGATAATTCAGTGTGCATCCGAGATAATTCAGTGCATATCCGAGATACTTCAGTGCGCATCCGAGATAATTCAGTGCATATCTGAGATACTTCAGTGCACATTCGAGATAATTTAGTGCGCATCCGAGATAATTCTGTGCATATCTGAGATAATTCAGTGCATATCCGAGATAATTCTGTGCACATCCGAGATAATTCAGTGCATATCCGAGATAATTCAGTGCATATCCGAGATAATTTAGTGCACATCCGAGATAATTCAGTGCACATCCGAGATAATTCAGTGCACATCCGAGATAATTCTGTGCACATCCGAAATAATTCAGTGCACATCCGAGATAATTCAGTGCACATCCGAGATAGTTCAGTGTGCATCCGAGATAGTTCAGTGCGCATCCGAGATAATTCAGTGCGCATCCGAGATAATTCAGTGCGCATCCGAGATAATTCAGTGTATATCCGAGATAATCCAGTGCGCATCTGAGATAATTCAGTGAACATCCGAGATAATTCAGTGCGCATCCGAGATAATTCAGTGCACATCCGAGATAATTCAGTGCATATCCGAGATAATTCAGTGCATATCCGAGATAATTCAGTGCATATCCGAGATAATTCAGTGAACATCCGAGATAATTCAGTGCACATCCGAGATAATTCAGTGCACATCCGAGATAATTCAGTGCACATCCGAGATAATTCAGTGTGCATCCGAGATAATTCAGTGCATATCCGAGATACTTCAGTGCGCATCCGAGATAATTCAGTGCATATCTGAGATACTTCAGTGCACATTCGAGATAATTTAGTGCGCATCCGAGATAATTCTGTGCATATTTGAGATAATTCAGTGCATATCCGAGATAATTCTGTGCACATCCGAGATAATTCAGTGCATATCCGAGATAATTCAGTGCATATCCGAGATAATTCAGTGCACATCCGAGATAATTCAGTGCACATCCGAGATAATTCTGTGCACATCCGAGATAATTCAGTGCACATCCGAGATACTCAAGAGAAGAAAGGTGGATCTTATTCCCGTGAGCTTACCTCTTGTTTGCTGTTGAGTTTCTGTAGTTGTTTGCCCCCGGTTATCTTAGGAATGTCACTGGCTAGTTCCTCCTGTACGTCCTCTAACCACAAAGTCAGCTGGTCTAACTTGTTCTTAAAGTCCTCCCAGTCAGACAGGGCTGTGTTATGTCTCTCCTCCTGTTGTGCAGCTCCTTCTGCAAGGGAACATGTGTTAGCAGGGCCAGTACCAGAGGGAAGTCATTTAGAATCTCACTCAGATACGAACATTAAACCTACTGTAAGCAGAGGGAACGGGGTTAAAATCCCAGTGTCATCTAGTCTTATAGGTGTGAGCTAGGAATTCTATTGGATCTATGCAACGTTACAGGTAAAGGTACCCTTCAGTACATCAGCTCCTTGATAAAGCAAGTAACTTACCGGCAGCATCCTCCCACTCATCCTGAACAGAGTTAAGTTCGCTGAGGAGGATAGCAGTAGCATCAGGGCCTGCTTTATCAACCAGCTTCTTGGACAGGTTGGTTAGAGCTAATACACTGCCTTGACACGCATCGTACAGGTATTTCTGGGGGATAGTTAGTTAGCAGGGGGTTAGTTTTACTACACTATCATGGGACACTAAACTGTAACAGTTATACGATATAAATAAAGGGTAACTCTAGCAGCAAGAAAAAGTAAGATAAAGTAGTAACCCGCTGTTTAGAGATCTCCTCGAAGTTGTCCTCTAAATCAGGTCCAATAGGATCGTCCTGTTGGAGTAACTCCTTGAGTTCAGCTACACACGCCTTACTCTCCTCCGCTCCTTGTCTGAACAGCTCCCAGTCCTCTACTGCTGCTTCGTACTGCCCCTGTGTTATCATGTGTTAAAACCTCAAAACCCCTAGTTTAGTTGCTCAGTTCTCAAGTTAAAATGAGGTTAAATAGCAGATGAAGTATAATAGAAGTACCGTTTTGGTGGAGACAGAGTCAGCGATGATAGAAAAGGTGTCGAGAAGAAGCGCCAGCTCCACACCGTAGTCCACACTAGTGTCCTCTTCTTTTAGAGCTGTTCCGATAAACTTAACCTCCTCAAGCACCTTCTCCCCCTTCCTCAACTCATCACCTAGCGCCTGTGGAAGTGGAAGTGTAAGTGATTCAAGTACCTTCTCCCCCTTCCTCAGCTCATCACCTAGCGCCTGTGGAAGTGGAAGTGTAAGTGATTCAAGTACCTTCTCCCCCTTCCTCAGCTCATCACCTAGCGCCTGTGGAAGTGGAAGTGTAAGTGGTTCAAGCACCTTCTCCCCCTTCCTCAGCTCATCACCTAGCGCCTGTGGAAGTGGAAGTGTAAGTGATTCAAGTACCTTCTCCCCGTTCCTCAGCTCATCACCTAGTGCCTGTGGAAGTGGAAGTGTAAGTGATTCAAGTACCTTCTCCCCGTTCCTCAGCTCATCACCTAGTGCCTGTGGAAGTGGAAGTGTAAGTGATTCAAGTACCTTCTCCCCGTTCCTCAGCTCATCACCTAGTGCCTGTGGAAGTGGAAGTGTAAGTGATTCAGATCATGTGCCCCATACTTACCAGCTGCTTGATGGTTATTTAACATGCCCCATACTTACCAGCTGCTTGATGGTTATTTAACATGCCCCATACTTACCAGCTGCTTGATGGTTATTTCACATGCCCCATACTTACCAGCTACTTGATGGTTATTTCACATGCCCCATACTTACCAGCTACTTGATGGTTATTTCACATGCCCCATACTTACCAGCTGCTTGATGGTTATTTAACATGCCCCATACTTACCAGCTACTTGATGGTTATTTAACATGCCCCATACTTACCAGCTACTTGATGGTTATTTAACATGCCCCATACTTACCAGCTACTTGATGGTTATTTAACATGCCCCATACTTACCAGCTACTTGATGGTTATTTAACATGCCCCATACTTACCAGCTACTTGATGGTTATTTCACATGCCCCATACTTACCAGCTACTTGATGGTTATTTCACATGCCCCATACTTACCAGCTACTTGATGGTTATTTCACATGCCCCATACTTACCAGCTACTTGATGGTTATTTCACATGCCCCATACTTACCAGCTACTTGATGGTTATTTAACATGCCCCATACTTACCAGCTACTTGATGGTTATTTCACATGCCCCATACTTACCAGCTACTTGATGGTTATTTAACATGCCCCATACTTACCAGCTACTTGATGGTTATTTCACATGCCCCATACTTACCAGCTACTTGATGGTTATTTAACATGCCCCATACTTACCAGCTACTTGATGGTTATTTAACATGGCCCATACTTGATTTAGGATGTTCTAGCAGGCTGTAAACTAAGACATGTCTAGAGATGACCAGCATAGAACACTTCAATTGTTCAAACTTGCAAAACCTCAAGCATGTTCTTTACTATCACTGCCACAGAATGACATGAGGGGAGGCGTCGCCCAGTCTTTCAGTAATCTGACCATCTGCTTTACGTTTAATCTAAATTCATGTGAATATTCACTGTGAGACCTGGTCCCTTTAAGATTGGATTCCTTTGTAGCACTGATTGTGATTTGCCTAACTGTCCTACAAGCCTAACTAGGGGGGGGGGGGGGGGGGGGGGGGTCATCTCTCAAACATAGGTCACATAGGTAGGAAAACGGGTCCATGTACAGAATACTGAGATCATAATGGCACTGCAACAAAACTTATGGTGATCAGATGGTTAACCTGCTCCTTATGTAATTATAAAGCCCTGAAATTATTAGTCAGTCCTTAGGGTCCACTACTAGGATGAGAACATAATCTAGCTGAGTAGCTTCTCTCGGTCATTTCCCCAGTCCTCACTTCTCATGGACAGAGAAGGGCGCCCTCATATTTAGTATATCGTGCACCGTACTTAGACCCATCTTGTTTCACAAATTTCTAAAAGAAAACATTACACTATCTCAAAATTATCAGGTTCTTAACTGAGATTTAACCAGAAACCCTCAGTTCTATTAGCAGTATGTTTCTGTTGGTGTTCCTGACAAGTGTTCCTCTAGTCCAGTCTATTGGTGTAGGTAAGTCAACATTAAATCCTCTAATCAAACCCACACCAAACTTTTTACTGTACGGCTTAAAATGCGTCAGAAATGTTGAACCTATGTTGTGGTGACCTATTAACTTACTCAAGAATCCACTTAATTTGCACGTGCATGAATAAGTGACACAAGGCGCGCACTCAGCTCATAACGTAACCACCTTTATCAGGGTGGACAGAGTGGCAGGAGATAACAATCAGGGACGACTGGATGAAGATAAAACCTTTAGATGGATATCTCTTCTCAGTACAGACTGATATCGTGGGTTACACAACTGGTATACGTTTCTATGTCAATATAGATGATGAAACTATCATCAACGTCAACATCCCTGCCAAATCAGGTAAGACTCTCAAGTAAAGGAAAGTAAACCAGCCAATTCAAGTAAGACTATAAACTATAGCTCCTTCCAATTGTGGTTCAGAAATTAACGCTCAGATTGCTGTGTACGAAAGTTATTTCATTTTCTCTTCAGATGGCATGCTGTTGGTGATGGTACAAGGCTGCACCGTGGAAACCAACATCCCCTTCAGTAACTTAATATTTGGATCTAGTACTATGGACTGGTACTTTTACAAAACAGCCGAAGAGTTTCAAGTGTGGTGTCAAGGGAAAATGGTAAGTGTTAAAATATAGAAATTTCATCCAATTACTCTAGTAGCAGAGTTTATACACTTTTTATAACTCAATAAAAATTCTATCGTTATTTTTACTATTAATCATAATTATTTTAAAAATCATTTTCCTAACTCTCTTTTTCGCCAGTACCACAGCCAAAAGTTTGCTGACGCAGAAGATCCTGATAGCTGCATTGCGAAGATGGCCTCTGATGTGACCAAGGTCAAATTCAGAGAATCTACTTTTGATGCAAGCAAGAAAATAAGACACCCTAAGGAAAAGGAGGCGGAGCTTATTAATCCAGGTTTGTAACTAATCTAAAATATAATCTGTTAGTAGTGGCTCAGTTTAAAATTAATTTTACTAGAGACTTAGTCCCCCGCGCAATATACCATGGCCCGGCTCGTTCGCACTGTCAAAAGTACCCACAAAGCAGTTGGGAAACTGGGCGAGAGAAAGGAATTTATACTTAACTCAGATATCACTGCAAATATTACCCGGACGCAGTTCTTGGGCCGAGAATCTCGGCACTAACGCTTTAATTGTATTATACAATACATTTACAGATATTCACACATATTTTTATATTAACGAGAAACGATGTAACGGAGTCGATATAATATTTTAATTTTTAATGTTGGTCAGGGCTGGCAAGTCCACATTTATCGTATCCCGATAGTTTCACTGCATCCTTAAATATCTTACTGTATACTTATATACATAGTTGATTCATGCGTTACTTTTCCAGGAAAAGTGCGTTTATAGTTCGTAAAGATTTTTTCGTGCGTTTAAGTACGTTTAAGTGCGTCTGCCTTAACATTACGAGGTTTTTTGTGTGGAAACAATTAAAAATGTTTTATGACTGTTAAATATCAGTTATCGCATGATTTGAAATAAATAAATCAAATAAAAAATTCTTCATTCCTACATCTTACTAAGAGGTAGTGTAAAAGAGAACTACCACGTGCAGCTGCACCGGTCTTTTCGGATGCACTGATATTGCGCAGATTACCGTGGATATATACAAGTTTCTCCACTTTTTCCATGGAAAGCAAGCCCACGCACTGATTTGTTTGAAACAGATTTAAAAGTGCGTTTTATTTATTTTTCGTGTGTAAAGTGCGTTTTATATAAAGCGAGACGATATAATATATAGGTATATAATATATATTATATATATTATGTACTATTTCTTTTCATCGATGTCCACACTATATATCTGTTCTCCCTTTATATAATGTCGCCGGTTGGGCTCTGCAGATGCTTTCTTCTTGAGCTCCAACACAAGTTTGCGATGTTCGGCTCTCTGTTCTGCTGTGCGATCGGGTGACAGGAACACTGTCTTGTGCTTTTCAGAATTGCGAAGTTCCCTTAACTTAACTACTTAACTAATATCTGCTGTACAATGGACGAGCTGGATAAAGTTACCTTAACAGGACGATGTTTTAGTCTTCTTCCCAAATCGCCTAGCTTCGATTCTGGGTTTTTCGTCAAGATTTAAAACACCTCAGGTATTCTTTTACTGAGAGCCTCGCTACCTTCCTCCGTCAAACTAAAGACCATAATGTTTTTGCTTAGCTCATGCCTCCTCCTCTACTATTTTAGCTATGCACTAACATGTGCTCGCATATTTAGCTGATAAACATTTCTTGTCTCTCAATCAATTGTAAGGAACGCACTAGTTGTTTAGAAAGCACATCCTTATTGCCAATCTTCATCATGTCCTCCAGTTTGACGTCTTCAACTGATACTGTTTTACACTGTTTGAGCATTTCTCTGATGAAACACTGTCTATCCTCCTCCACCGTCGGAAAATTGTATCGTTCCGAAGCAGTCGGCAAAATTAAGATGTATATTGTGGTCACTTCCCCAGTAACTTGTAGACGGCGTTACACCATAACGTTACAATATCGTGCACCATAACGTTACAATATCGTGCACCATAACGTTACAATATAGCGTTACAATATCGTGCACCATAACGTTACAATATAACGTTACAATATCGTGCACCATAACGTTACAATATACCTAGCGTTACAATATCGTGCACCATAACGTTACAATATAACGTTACAATATCGTGCACCATAACGTTACAATATAGCGTTACAATATCGTGCACCATAACGTTACAATATAACGTTACAATATCGTGCACCTTCCTAACACATCCAAGTTTGAAGACGTATTCTAGTTATTGATTTCATGATGCTGTGAACAAAATGGGATCGAGTCATCTATTAAAGTATTAATTGTATCAAGATGCCTCTCCAATCTCTAAACCAACATAGACTTCTCAAATAGTTAAACCAAGCTCCTGTAGCTGATTTTCTATATCTCTAGCTGCGAATGAACCGAGCAACAATCCTTTAGTCGGATTTAGTCCACAATTTTACCCCTGTTCGTTTTGTGCGAACTCTACTAGACGGGAAAATTATCATAAATATTACAAGAACTACCACATTAGTCAGCCTGGTAGCTACATTAGTCAGCCTCTAACAGGGCTGTCTGGTGCTGGTCAATACTATGGGCATAGTGGTGTTTCTCAGGTGGTTAGTCACCTTCGGGAATGGGGAGTCTCAGATTTTCACCCATAAAAGGAGTTGTTGTAGCAGTATAGAGAAATTCAAAGTCTAGTTTGTGTAGAGAGCTCTATCCAGGGTCGGGAGGTAGCAAAATAAGATAATGACAAACTACACCTAAAGGATTACAACCCTTTCACTCTTTAGTCTTAAAGTGCCTCCTCTCACCATATTCCCCTCAAAACAATGATAAGCCCCTACTAATAAACCGGTAAAACTAACGACAAATCTCAGATAAGATTTGTATATTGTTAAGGTCATATTTCAAGCAGAGCTCTCTTTTGAGATGATTTCTCTGCTCGCCAGACTGCCTATTTGTTCAGTAAGCATAATGTCCAGGATGATCAGTACTCCGAGTGACTTGGTCCTGTGAGCAGTAACAGCTAGTTTAACTGCTCCTCTCTCTCTTCCTTAGTCTCATGGGATCAGTGAGGTGAGCAACTTAGGGAGCAAGTCACGTGACTGCTAGACCTGACCACGTGACATATGAACAACTGCACGTGCAACAACTGCACGTGCAACATGGGGAACTGGTTTATAACGGAGCAGTCGCTCAAATTTCATTATTCGACGAATTGTTTTGCTGCAAGAACGCTTAGTTATATTAAGCGTCCAGGGATTTTTCAAAGTTGATCTTTTCAACTCAACCTAAATTCATAATCTTCTACCTTCTTTTCTCTTGAACTTTTCGTTTCCCTAATGGTGTGAAGTACCTAGAACTTATCTAAATTTATAAATTTTACCCTCGTTATTATCAGTTTTCCATTTTCTTACAGATATCGCGACTTATTGTATTGGTAACATGACTTGTTAACTTATTTCATCAGTTTTAGGACTGTCTGCTCTGCATAATCAAGATTCTAGAATGATGGACTATGAATTACAGTTTGCACTCAGATAAGAATAATACTGTGAAATATTGAAATAACCGTTGACTGATACCCGGTAAAGATTACCCCAAATTATCAGGTTCTTAACTGAGATTTAATTTAACCCTCAGTTCTATTAGCAGTATGTTTCTGTTGGTGTTCCTGACAAGTGTTCCACTAGTCCGGTCTATTGGTGTAGGTAAGTCAACATTAAATCCTCTAATCCTACCCAGACCAAACTTTTTACTGTACGGCTTTAAATGCGTCAGAATTGTTGAACCTACGATGTGGTGACCTATTTCTAACTCAAGAATCCACTTAATTTGCACGTGCGCGCACTCGGCTCATAGCGTAACGACCTTTATGACACGCAGGGTGGACAGATTGGCGGGAGATAACAAACAGGGAGAGCTGGCTGAAGATAACACCTTTAGATGGATATCTCTTCTCAGTACAGACTGATATCGTGGGTTACACAACTGGTATACGTTTCTATGTCAATATTGCTGATGAAACTCTCATCAACGTCAACATCCCTGCCAATTCAGGTAAGACTCCCAAGTAAAGGAAAGTAAACCAACCAATTCAAGTAAGACTATAAATTATAAATCTTTCCAATTGTGGTTCAGAAATTAACGCTCAGATTGCTGTGTCGCAATTAGTAACGCTCAGATTGCTGTGTCGCAATTAGTAACGCTCAGATTGCTGTGTCGCAATTAGTAACGCTCAGATTGCTGCGTCGCAATTAGTAACACTCTGATTGCTGTGTCGCAATTAGTAACGCTCATATTGCTGTGTCGCAATTAGTAACGCCCAGATCGCTGTGTCGCAATTAGTAACGCTCAGATTGCTGTGTCGCAATTAGTGACGCTCAGATTGCTGTGTCACAATTAGTAACGCTCAGATTGCTGTGTCGCAATTAGTAACGCTCAGATTGCTGTGTCGCAATTAGTAACGCTCTGATTGCTGTGTCGCAATTAGTAACGCTCTGATTGCTGTGTCGCAATTAGTAACGCTCTGATTGCTGTGTCGCAATTAGTAACGCTCTAATTGCTGTGTCACAATTAGAAACGTTCAGATTGCTGTGTCGCAATTAGTAACGCTCTGATTGCTGTGTCGCAATTAGTAACGCTCTGATTGCTGTGTCGCAATTAGTAACGCTCTGATTGAACTGTCGCAATTAGTAACGCTCTGATTGTAGTGTCGCAATTAGTAACGCTCTGATTGTACTTTTAGTGTTGCAATTAGTAACGCTCAGATTGTAGTGTCGCAATTAGTAACGCTCTGATTGTAGTGTACGAAAGTTATTTAATTTTTTCTTCAGAGGGCATGCTGTTGGTGGCTATAACAGGTTGCGCCATGGAAAAGAACATCCCCTTCAGTAACTTTATATCTGGATCTAGTACTATGGACTGGTACTTTTACAAAACAGCCGAAGAGTTTCAAGTGTGGTGTCAAGGGAAAATGGTAAGTGTTAAATATAGAAACTTCCTCCAATTACTCTAGTAGCAGAGTTTATAAAATATATAAATATATTTTTTATAACTCAATAAAAGTTCTATCGTTATTTTTACTATTAATCATAATTATTTTAAAAATCATTTTCCTAACTCGCTTTTTCTCCAGTACCACAGCCAAAAGTTTGCTGACGCAGCAGATCCTGGTGGCTGCATTGCAAGGATGTCCCCTGATGTGACAGACGTCAGTTTCAGATCTAATGAAGTTGATGCAAGCAAGAAAATAAGACACCCTAAGGAAAAGGAGGCGGAACTTATTAATCCAGGTATGTAGCTAATCTAAAAGAGAATCTGTTAGTAGTGGCTCAGGTTAAAATTAATTTTACTAGAGACTTAGTCCCCCGCGCAATATACCATGGCCCGGCTCGTTCGCACTGTAACAACTACCCACAAAGCAAACTGGGCAAACTGATGTGAAGCGAGTTTGTCAGGCTCGTTACTCCCTCTAATTACTTGTGAACCCCTACCCGACTATCTAGACTACTGCTCTGAGAGAAACCATCTGCTGAGGCTCAAAACCCCTTTTTACCGCACACCCCTTTTACCGTACTATTTACCTCCCCCAAAATATACGCTTAACTCAGATATCACTGCAAATATTTGCAATAGTTCAATAGAGATGAGACGGACGTGAACTTTCAAATCTGCAATATAGTGGCGCAGCTTGCCACTATATTGCAGGATCTAAGTAGTTTAATTAATTATTTGAAATATAATCTGCAGAGAAGGGAGGATTATTGATATAATGTTCTGGACAAAATTTGTATGAATAATATGCACTAATTACATGATAAACATTTAATATGATCATATTATAAATCATATTCACTAATTACATGATCTACATTTAATATGATCATTTAAAAAATGTACTTCGCTTATTATGTTACTATTGATTTCGTTTTATTTTCTGTTCGGCTTAAGTATCACGAAACTAATCGATTACAATACAATACCTATATATTATTAGGTTACTAGCCAAGGTATTATTTGTTATAATCCTTTGAAATTGACTCTTATGAAACAAAATATTAAAATTTCAATAATTATTGACATCATGTCACGAACTAATGGCCCTGAAACTGATCATATAAAAAGGTAAAATAAAATACAGAGTACAACTAACCTTGATAGAGAGAATATCTCCCTGAAGAGCACTAGGAACTACAATGTGGTTAGGATCCAGGTCTCCCACTCTGCTCTTCAGCCCTGATAACCACCTCTTCAGCTCCTCGCTTTTCTCCTGGAACTCTGCCAGCCTACTCGCCTTCGCCTCAAGTTCCTCCTGTGCATGTGTACTATCCTCCGTTACTTTCAGCCACGTCCGCTCTAAATCCGCCCTGTGGTGATAACCAATAACTATAATGAAACTGTTGGATTCTCTAATTCTCTTTGTAAGAAAACTTAGTAGTTGATGTAATGACATGTGTCACATCAACCGTGGTTTGAAGGGTATCAAGTTACACGCGGGCGTATAATGTTAACGTGGTGACGATGTATAAAATATGAGGTCATTTCTAGCTGTATTTATTCGACCAACACTTTCAGGTTTATTTAAAAGAACGATTTACAAAGTTAGAATCATTTGTACGCTATATTCTCATTCACCCCCCTGCGCAAGTCGCCCTAAATCTTATTTCAATTTTATTGATTAACGGCAGCAGTAAGCTCAGTTTTCGAATTTAATATAAATCCCCGATTTTTTCAATCTTGAAAAAACCTGCCACATAATTTGTAATACCTTTGGTCGTCAATAAATTAAAATATGCTCCGAATGATCAACGCTTTTTATCGAACACAAAAGAATCGATGGTGAATTAATAGATTAGAGGGAGTTTAATCAAAAACTCTGCTGGAATGCTGGATTAAAAAACAACTGATTAATTTAATATAATTTTTGGTTACTGTAAAAAAACAATGCCGTCCTCAAACACAGATGACACAGATGACTCATGGAACTATGACAACAAACTAACAAACCAATAAACTAGGACCAATGAACAAGGTATGAAGTAGACTAATAACATTAATAAACTCACTTTAACAAGATGTGAATCAGACTAATTAGGCTAACAGACTCACTAATTAATTACTAATTAGACTCACTAATTAAATAATTACTAATTAGACTCACTAATTAACTAATTACTAATTAGACTCACTAATTAACTAATTAGTAATTACTAATTAGACTCACTAATTAACTAATTACTAATTAGACTCACTTTAACGCAGTCCACCTGGGTCCCCCTACATCCTTAACAAAGAACATGAAACTACAGCCTCATATAAACAGAGTGTATTATATGTGCAATGAGACAAGAGCAAGTGCACTGCATGTTAACCTTATACTTTTAACATTTTATAGTTTACACTTACTGTCATACTCATAGTCAATATTTGTGATGCATATCACACATATCACACATATAACGCACATATCACGGAGGTATGTTTTTCTAAATCAAGTGGTTTGCAAATAATCAATAAAATGCGGCTGTGTGGGATTGCTTGCGGAGTAGCAGTGTCAGTGTTACTTCGGGCAGAAGAGTGTTACCTCGGGCAGAAGATGGAGATATCAGAGTTGTTGCTGAGATCCCAGTCTGAGTAGACAGAGTCAGGGTACGAGAACATTGGAACATCCTGCTCTCCTTCTTCTTCTCCTTCGTCTTCTCCTGGCGACGTGTCTGCTTCATTGTAGTTCCTGTGGTACAAAGATGAAAAGTAGCCCTCACTACCAATACTGGAGCCAGGAGGAGTCTCTACCCCACATCTTTGTAACAAAACATCACTCATATCCATAGCCTCTACTCTCTCCACATCCACTCTACACACTAACACATACTGAGAGCAAGACGTTTTCCTCCACACCAAACTAAAGTCATATTGTCTCAGGACACAATCCTGGATAGACACTCCACAGTTCTTAAACACCTCCCGATCTGGGATCAGCTTCTGTTGTCTCCTGCTCCTGTGACACCCAGTAAACTTGAGAGTGATAGGTCCGTTGAGAGAGAAGATAAAGACAGGGAAGGAGGGGTCCCGTCTAGAACATTCCTCCAACACGTGGTCTACCCTGTTACATTCAGCGTTACAACCCTCAGTGTTACCCTCAGTGTTACCCTCAGTGTTACCCTCAGTGTTACCCTCAGTGTTACCCTCAGTGTTACCCTCAGTGTTACCCTCAGTGTTACCCTCAGTGTTACCCTCAGTGTTACCCTCAGTGTTACCCTCAGTGTTACCCTCAGTGTTACCCTCAGTGTTACCCTCAGTGTTACCCTCAGTGTTACCCTCAGTGTTACCCTCAGTGTTACCCTCAGTGTTACCCTCAGTGTTACCCTCAGTGTTACCCTCAGTGTTACCCTCAGTGTTACCCTCAGTGTTACCCTCAGTGTTACCCTCAGTGTTACCCTCAGCGTTACAACCCTCAGTGTTACCCTCAGTGTTACCCTCAGTGTTACCCTCAGTGTTACCCTCAGTGTTACCCTCAGTGTTACCCTCAGTGTTACCCTCAGTGTTACCCTCAGTGTTACCCTCAGTGTTACCCTCAGTGTTACCCTCAGTGTTACCCTCAGTGTTACCCTCAGTGTTACCCTCAGTGTTACCCTCAGTGTTACCCTCAGTGTTACCCTCAGTGTTACCCTCAGTGTTACCCTCAGCGTTACAACCCTCAGTGTTACCCTCAGTGTTACCCTCAGTGTTACCCTCAGTGTTACCCTCAGTGTTACCCTCAGTGTTACCCTCAGTGTTACCCTCAGTGTTACCCTCAGTGTTACCCTCAGTGTTACCCTCAGTGTTACCCTCAGTGTTACCCTCAGTGTTACCCTCAGTGTTAGCAGTTAGTCTGAGCACACTAACAGAGTTGTAACTCACCCCCATCACCTCACTGATAGTCTCCACCACACTGCTCACCACAGAGTCATCTTCTTCGCACAGTCTATAAGAAGGGGGAGACAGTTCTTCAGAGAGGGAGGGGTTGTACAGTCTGTAGGGTAGAGGAGAGAGGTGTCCTGGTATATCCTGGTATATCCTGGTGTGTCCTGGTACATCCCCAGAGAAGGGGAGGAACTCCCTGCTCTGTTGAAGGTGGTTCAGTAGCGTGTGTCTAGCAGGCCGGGGCAGGATGTGTTTGGTAGTGGTAACTCCTACCAGTCTGTCTATCTCTTCCATCATCCCATCAAACGAGGTTATTTCCATTATTATACTATACCACAGACAGGTAACTCTGTGATAGAGGGACTGTGTAATAGAGGGTAGAAGTGCTGACAGGGGTGAAATGTTAAAATGCTCACCTCTTGTGCACCAGACTGTTCCTTTTGTCTGGAATGTCGGGTACCGGGGAGGGGGAACGAGCTAGAGGCACCTCGTTCACAACGTTAGCAAGGAAAAAGTAATCTCCCATACAGGCATAGACTGTGTGTTACACAAAGTTAATATTATTATTAACATTTAACAGCTTCTATAAATGGAGTGGAAACAAGCTTCTTCACAATATAAAAGGGACAACAATTCGGAAAATTAACAAAGATCGAATGCAACTTAAAGCCAAATACCACAAGCAGAGGGACACACCTCTCACAAAACCTCAGAAAGAGGCCCAGCAAAACAAGGGGTGCACACTACATAACTCTAGTCACGTGACATGTGTTTAGACCACGTGACCTCACAACATCCTAGCTGAACAAGAGAGAGTAGTGAGGCGTGTGGAGACAACACAGCACTATCAGCAGTGTGTGGAGACAACACAGCACTATCAGTAGTGTGTGGAGACAACACAGCACTATCAGCAGTGTGTGGAGACAACACAGCACTATCAGCAGTGTGTGGAGACAACACAGCACTATCAGCAGTGTGTGGAGACAACACAGCACTATCAGCAGTGTGTGGAGACAACACAGCACTATCAGCAGTGTGTGGAGACAACACAGCACTATCAGCAGTGTGTGGAGACAACACAGCACTATCAGCAGTGTGTGGAGACAACACAGCACTATCAGCAGTGTGTGGAGACAACACAGCACTATCAGCAGTGTGTGGAGACAACACAGCACTATCAGCAGTGTGTGGAGACAACACAGCACTATCAGCAGTGTGTGGAGACAACACAGCACTATCAGCAGTGTGTGGAGACAACACAGCACTATCAGCAGTGTGTGGAGACAACACAGCACTATCAGCAGTGTGTGGAGACAACACAGCACTATCAGCAGTGTGTGGAGACAACACAGCACTATCAGCAGTGTGTGGAGACAACACAGCACTATCAGCAGTGTGTGGAGACAACACAGCACTATCAGCAGTGTGTGGAGACAACACAGCACTATCAGCAGTGTGTGGAGACAACACAGCACTATCAGCAGTGTGTGGAGACAACACAGCACTATCAGCAGTGTGTGGAGACAACACAGCACTATCAGCAGTGTGTGGAGACAACACAGCACTATCAGCAGTGTGTGGAGACAACACAGCACTATCAGCAGTGTGTGGAGACAACACAGCACTATCAGCAGTGTGTGGAGACAACACAGCACTATCAGCAGTGTGTGGAGACAACACAGCACTATCAGCAGTGTGTGGAGACAACACAGCACTATCAGCAGTGTGTGGAGACAACACAGCACTATCAGCAGTGTGTGGAGACAACACAGCACTATCAGCAGTGTGTGGAGACAACACAGCACTATCAGCAGTGTGTGGAGACAACACAGCACTATCAGCAGTGTGTGGAGACAACACAGCACTATCAGCAGTGTGTGGAGACAACACAGCACTATCAGCAGTGTGTGGAGACAACACAGCACTATCAGCAGTGTGTGGAGACAACACAGCACTATCAGCAGTGTGTGGAGACAACACAGCACTATCAGCAGTGTGTGGAGACAACACAGCACTATCAGCAGTGTGTGGAGACAACACAGCACTATCAGCAGTGTGTGGAGACAACACAGCACTATCAGCAGTGTGTGGAGACAACACAGCACTATCAGCAGTGTGTGGAGACAACACAGCACTATCAGCAGTGTGTGGAGACAACACAGCACTATCAGCAGTGTGTGGAGACAACACGGCACTATCAGCAGTGTGTGGAGACAACACAGCACTATCAGCAGTGTGTGGAGACAACACAGCACTATCAGCAGTGTGTGGAGACAACACAGCACTATCAGCAGTGTGTGGAGACAACACAGCACTATCAGCAGTGTGTGGAGACAACACAGCACTATCAGCAGTGTGTGGAGACAACACAGCACTATCAGCAGTGTGTGGAGACAACACAGCACTATCAGCAGTGTGTGGAGACAACACAGCACTATCAGCAGTGTGTGGAGACAACACTATCAGCAGTGTGTGGAGACAACACAGCACTATCAGCAGCGTGTGGAGACAACACAGCACTATCAGCAGTGTGTGGAGACAACACAGCACTATCAGCAGTGTGTGGAGACAACACAGCACTATCAGCAGTGTGTGGAGACAACACAGCACTATCAGTAGTGTGTGGAGACAACACAGCACTATCAGCAGTGTGTGGAGACAACACAGCACTATCAGCAGTGTGTGGAGACAACACGGCACTATCAGCAGTGTGTGGAGACAACACAGCACTATCAGCAGCGTGTGGAGACAACACAGCACTATCAGTAGTGTGTGGAGACAACACAGCACTATCAGCAGCGTGTGGAGACAACACTATCTGACACTCTGGGAACACCAAACAACACAACATCAAGTCTTTCATTAATTAGCAGGTACTCTCTCTCTCTGTTGGGAGGAGACAACAAGCTTGCATTGGTACTCTCTTCTACTGTTCTTACAAGCACACACTGATAGTGCACAGATTATCTGATGTTAGATACACATGTAACACAGGGGGGTCTATCTGTTAGGTAGTGCTGCCGGGAAACAGGGTCATGATGAAGTAAGTCTTGACATTTTATGACATGACTGGAAAAAGGGTGGGAAATAAGCTATTGTGTGAACTCCAAAAGGGCTAAAATGCACGATCAAAGAAATAAAATGTAAAGATAATAAATTTGCACGTCTCATCTCTAGTGTGTGGAGACAACACATCTCTAACTAAGCACACTGTTAGAGAACCTAATGACAGTACTGAATACAACCCAGCTAACACCAGCAATTCCTATATTTCAACACTTAGCACTACATCAGTGTTCAAACTACGAGCAAACTACATATAAATACCCGCCAAATATTACATCGCGTACTCTCTGAGAGAGCGGGAAACCAAACAAGCACTAGTCAGACTACATCACAGCAGGGTTGGAACGTGTGTAACAACCCGCAAAACACGTAACCAGTGGTGTTTATAGTATTTAGTATGGTTCAATTAGAAATTCTCAGGAAGAGTGGATCCTATGGCTGAACTGTACTCTAGTATAATACAGGGTCCATTATATACGTTATCTCAACATAGGTATGGGATTTAATTGTATCGATATCAGACAATGATATTGGTTACCATAAACGGTAACAGCGAGGCACCATTAGCAGAGAGGCTGCATCATTAGCAGAGAGGCTGCATCATTAGCAGAGAGGCTGCACCCCCACCCACCCCCACCCACTTGAACTGTGATAACTATAAAACCATACCAGACTATTTATATTTCACCGCACAGATATTGAACCTTTTATAACGGGTACCTCGAATAAAAAAGAATGTAAAAAGTTATTATATAACCAGGGAAACGAACTTACTTTCCGAGCGAGATTGTGTCTGTCTCAGATTTGGAGGCTAGCTTGAAGAGCTTTAGGGAGAGCTCGTCAGCTGTAGCCCTTTTAACTTGTAACCCTTCTAGTTGCACACACCGCATTGTTACTGCTTCCAACTGAAATAGAAACACGTCAATATAAAAATATGATGTTCTCAATTGTATTATTGAGCCCGGGTGAGAACAGAAGCAACAGTAAATATTACTGATTTTACTCTAGTAGCAGAGTGTAGCTGTGAAGCTACTACTCTAGTGTTTGTAGGTATGCAGTTTATTTATTAGTGAAAAGGTGTGGTTGCTCCAGTTGACAGATAATGTGAATTGTCCTATTGTACAGGTGAGTACATGTTATCAGACACTGCCAACTACAGGTGAGTACATGTTATTAGACACTGCCAACACAATGAAGATACCATTGTTTTCAATCAACACTTAGATTATTCCTTAAAATGGGTGCGGATACTGTACGGCTATTACACGAATGAAAGAATATCAATTGTTTTATTTAGGAAGAAATCAACTGTGTTTTCACTGTTTTGTTCCCCCGTCCTTTTTACTGAACATTGAATACTGTTATTTATAGTGATTTTTTCCTTTTCACCCTTTTGAAAAAAGGCAATAGTGAAAGGTTACAAATGGAGGTTTTTGCAGAAAAACGTGGATTTTGGAGATTGCAGTAGGTGGGTCTGAGTATGCATGTCGTGTTCCTTGCTTCCGTTCGTTACCAAGCAACGAAAAAGTTGCGCGCGCGCGAGGATTGCTTGCGGAGATGTGTTGTATAGATAGCCTGTGATCTATGAATGCGCGGCGCGACTGTGTTTTAATGTATACGATTACGATGGATGTAATGTATAATATTACAATTAGGTAATACGCCCAATAACAATTTGTACGTGGCACGCGTAGTGTATTGATGTGTATACGACATACGAGTATAGTTTACCTTTGCTGATAATTTCTTGAATTACAGATACAAGTTAAGTTCTACGGCAATTGAACTGAATTTTTTCCCGTATTTGATGCATAATTTATCAATATTATTATCATGAAGATTGAAGTGAGCTGATTGGAGCTTATACTTAAAGTTATAGTAAATGTGAAATGGAAATCTAGCGTCCGCCAAAACGAAACAACGGGCGCAATTCTTGTTTCATATTAAAGTATTAACATAAGCTAAGCGCCTGCATCTTGAAATAACGTAATTAACAAATGCGTGTATTTTATTAACAGCTTAGCGTTTTACAAGGTTTCATTAGTTGGACAATAGACATGTCACTAGTAGGGGCTGCGTGTGTAGTTGTGGCAACGATATCTCAACTTGCAATACTTGTATTGCTCTATCTGGCTAAAACAAAAAGTATGATATGATTATGTCATAAATAATAAATATATCATGATGATATATAAGTGGTATGATTTAAATAGACGGTTCAATTTCTTAAAGCTAAGTAGACTAGATTCTCCTTTCAACAGACGGGCTCTCTCGTATTGATTAGTAGCACTAATCTGAGCGAGAAAATACTATCTAATCACGCGAATAATTATTAATTAATTAATTAACTAATTAGTTAACTAATTAATTTCCAGCAGGTTGGTTATTTCCCACTTATATCGGCACTCTCACTCTCAGTACTTTCCTTATGATTCTGAGAATCTTTCAAGTTCTCTCCAACAGAGGTAATGTATTTACAATTTCACTTTCTTTTTAATTTAAATTTAATGTTTAATCTAAATTTAATGTTTATAAATTTCAAAATTATAATTTCACAATTATATTCAGTTTCTCGCAGTTTGTTAAAAAATACCCTCATAATCAATTGTTGTACTGCAGGGATATTGAAACAAGACAACTTTTATAAAAGAAGTAAGTATAAGGTTATTTGTTTGATAATTATACATAATTATATATGTAGTTATATATACAGGGTGGCCCAAAAGTGACTACCCACACGCAACCTCTTAATAACTCACGTAATTCGTCTCCAAATTGCACCAAAATTTCAGAGATTATAGATATGGGTCAAACTTAGATTTCCTGAAAGTTTCGTAAGCCACGCCCAATTACAGTGGGCGTGGCGTGACACTCCCTCTTTTTCACTATTGTCTTCATAAAATGAGAACGCTTTAAGCTAAGAACTCCAAATTTTTTGCACACATTTGGCTTGATAATTTAAAACCTTTCCCAAAGTTTCAAGTTCATTGTTCAAAATTTGGCTGAGTTATGACCATTTCAAAATTCATCGGAAACGTGATCCGAGCACTCAGTCAGTGATCTCTGCACTCAATCAGTGATCTCGTCACCCAATCTGATCAAGAGTAAGGCGTTAGCTGTATTAATGAGGTTCATTAGGCTTTACCAAACATACTGAGGAGATGACGACCTGATCATGATTGATTGGATACCGATAATGACTTTGCTAGACAGGAAAACACCGAATTCTTCGTAAAAGTGAGGTCCTAGGATTCCACGAGAACTGATGGCGCACCAGATCGTGACCTTTTCAGGAAAATCAGGAATCACGGTCTAAAAGTTGGTGTTTCTTTGTGATCCGATAGGCCCGGTTAGAAAGATCTCGCTTTAGGATTCGTTGAAGGGATGTTCTGCTGAGGTCTAAGGCAGGAGCTCGTTTTCGGGTGCCAATTTTAGGTGTATCCATCACGTCACAAAAAACCATGGTGATGTTTTCTTCGGTCCTCGCAGTTCGTCTTCTGCCGACTCTTCGCCGATCGTTTGCAGAAAAAGTGAACTTGATCTTGTGATGCATATCAAAGCAGCTTTTCCGGCAAGGGGATGGTCGGTTGAATTTCATTTGAAATTGTCGTTTAAGCTGAGGACAAAACTCCCCATTCTCTTTCTTCAGGTAGACAAACAATCGTTGTTCCGCAGTATAGGGAGGATAGTGAACCATTTTCGATGATTCAATGGATAGTTCATTCCTTTTTATCGATTGTAAGGAACGAACCTGTGACTAGCAGGGCTAACAAGCCCTGCAACCAATCAAGCGGTGCATGTGAGCCAAACAGGCCATTAACCAAGTGCAGAGATCACTGACTGAGTGTTCGGATCACGTTTCCGATGAATTTTGAAATGGTCATAACTCAGCCAAATTTTGAACAATGAACTTGAAACTTTGGGAAAGGTTTTAAATTATCAAGCCAAATGTGTGCAAAAAATTTGGAGTTCTTAGCTTAAAGCGTTCTCATTTTATGAAGACAATAGTGAAAAAGAGGGAATGTCACGCCACGCCCACTGTAATTGGGCGTGGCTTACGAAACTTTCAGGAAATCTAAGTTTGACCCATATCTATAATCTCTGAAATTTTGGTGCAATTTGAAGACGAATTACGTGAGTTATTAAAAGGTTGCGTGTGGGTAGTCACTTTTGGGCCACCCTGTAATATATTTATATAAATTCAAATGTGAGCCTTTAGGAACTGAATCTAAATTTAGGTTGTGTTCTGCTGCTAAACTTTCTAGCTGAAAGCCCGTCCTACGGACATCTACTTCAGATTCGAGATGTAGTTCCCCCGAAGTAGCTGTTATTGTTGAATGTGTATTGTGAACTGGTTTTAACTAGGACAGTATACAGTAGACAATATGTGAAAGCTCCATCATTGAATTACCCTGTATAATGTATATAAGCACAGTAACTGCAGTTTTGCACCCTGCAACACAAAGCGTAACAAGATACTAGTTTTGCACCACCTGGTCTATAGTACTATGGTTAACAGTAAACACAAGGAAAGTTAGTTACTTGGCCATCATATATTTGAAACAGACTAACTTTGAATTATTCATTTATACAATGCAATTTTTATGAGTTGCCTCGTAAGTACGAGGGGGAGACTGTAGTTTCAGTAAGACCAACTCGGCAGTTACTATTAGTCTGGCAACTACAAATAATATGGGACAAAATACTTTTAAATATTATGGGACAAAATACCTTTAAATAATATGGGACAAAATACTTTTAAACAATATGGGACAAAATACTTTTAAATAATATGGGACAAAATACTTTTAAATAATATGGGACAAAATACTTTTAAATAATATGGGACAAAATACTTTTAAATAATATGGGACAAAATACTTTAAAATATTATGGGACAAAATACTTTTAAATAATATGGGACAAAATACTTTTAAACAATATGGGACAAAATACTTTTAAATAATATGGGACAAAATACTTTTAAATAATATGGGACAAAATACTTTTAAATAATATGGGACAAAATACTATTAAATAATATGGGACAAAATACTTTTAAATAATATGGGACAAAATACTTTTAAATAATATGGGACAAAATACTTTTAAATAATATGGGACAAAATACTTTTAAATAATATGGGACAAACACAATGTATTTACGGAACGAAAATTAATGTATGTATGTATGTATGTATGTATGTATGTATGTATGTATGTATGTATGTATGTATGTATGTATGTATGTATGTATATCCTGTAGAGGAACTTGTTAGATGATGTGTACTGGAGAACCAATGTACAATGTACAATGTACAATGTACAATGCACTATTAATGCGATTAAGGCAGGTCGTAACCCTATTATAACTAATATATTTCAGACGCAGAGGTTATCAGGTTTACTACGATACTAATAGGAGTACTAACAGGTTAATCAAGAGCATTTGCAATTACACGTGTTACAATTTACTTGCTTTCGTGTTATTTTCACTTTCACTTTCACTTTCACTTTCACTTTCACTAAAACCCCTTATATCCCCAGTGCTGGCCTCATCAGTGATACTAGGAGTGTTTGTGTACATAAGCTACCTGTTCTACTTAGAAGAAGAGCACGACGTACTGCACTCCTACACGTACGGGTACGGAGTGACACTAGAAGTGGGGGTAATGGAGCACGTGACTGTGCTCACTATCACAGTGTTGGGGGGAGTGTCCGTGTTGGGGCACGTGATTAACACGTGTTTAGCGTGCTGTTGTCATGGCGACCTAGCTCAGTAGACATGTCAGATGTAGTCAGATGTTACACTTTAATTCAGTTTTTTCAGTTTTCTTGAATATGAATGAACAAAATTTCCCATGACGTGTTAAAAGTTATGTATCAATGGGGTTTCTACAAAATATGTCAATAAATTAAGATTAAGGTTGAAGTTCTTTAAATGGTTATATTCTGGTGAAAATTAATAGTTGCCATTTATTTTGATGATAGCTTTATGGTATTCTTTTTGAATTCAATTTATATCGTTCTTAAGGCTGATACTTTTAAAACATCGTTTTTTTTCTAAATTTTAAAATCCAATATGTTATAATATGTTATAATATGTTATAACATGTTATAATATGTTATAACATGTAATAATATGTCATAATATTGTATTGAGCTGTCGGTTGAGGGTAAACCCGTCGAGCAGGTTAGCAACTTTGTCTACCTGGGTGCAACTATTAGTGGGGATGGGACAATCAACAGAGACCTGGATGTCCGTATCCAGAAGGCTAATGGCGCCTTTCATCAGCTCTGGAACATTTGGAATAGCAGAACTATAAAGACTCCAACCAAGATCAGGATCGATTGTAGGACTGAATCCCTACCGGACGGAATCACTACCACCCAAATATCACTACTGGTAGTGATTCAGTCCGGTAGTGATTCAGTCCTAAAATATACCTCAATCCCTACCAGTTGATCTTAGTTCACTAGTCTAATATCATGACGTGATCTGAGCCGGTGCTCTCATGGAGTGCTTGCTATGGGGCCTGTCAGACATGTGATCCACAGACTTACGTACGCAACGAGGAGCCCTAACGAGAACTGGTTCGGATCAAGTCATCCATAATGACCTGCTATACGACAATACAGTGATGTGAACCTTCACATGCTCGGTATCTCAATCAGCTAGCGGGAATAATATATAAACCCGCAACGCCTGTGTTTATCTTATACCACTATGTCTTCCTCATCCATCGAGTTTATTCCTGGCAGAAAGAAAGGCAGCCGCAACGTCCTCTACGATGGTCACCTCTACCACCTTAACAGAAAGAGGGAAGACAAGACCTACTGGAAGTGCAACAAGTGCAAGTCCCGCCTGATCCTTGTCCAGGACACCTTCTGTTCTGCTACTCCTCATGACCACGAATCTCAACCAGCAGAAATTGCAGCCCACCGCTCCAAGTCTAAAATGAAGACCCTCGCAGCTACTACTGAGAACTCAACTAAGCAGATTGTTGCAGACTCTGTCGCTGGACTATCCTTCGAAGCCTCGTCCCGGCTCAACTGTGATCCCAAGTCCTTGGCACGACTAGTCAGACGAGCCAGAATGGCAGCCTACTCCCATTTCCTCCTAACTACCTGACCTCTCCCGGTGGTGACACTATGTTGCTCTGGGACTCCTCCTACGACACCAACACCAGAAGATCTATCCTCCTTGGTACTGCAGACAACATCAACATCATCTATCAGTCAGATCACCTCGTCGTGGATGGAACCTTTAAGACCTCTCCAGACCTGTTTACTCAACTCTTCACAGTCCACGCCTTACACCCTACTGGATGGAGAATCCCTGCAGCCTTTGGACTCCTACCCGGGAAGCGCACCATCATGTACGAGAACATCCTCAACGAACTGGACTCCTACGGACCCTTCTACCCTCAGTCGGTGCTGGTGGACTATGAAATCGCTATCAGGAACGCAGTCTCCAACGTCTGGCCTGGTACTACCTTGAGAGGATGCTGGTTCCACTTCAAACCTGGAGATGCAACGTATTGTTGATGATTATGATAACTTTGGGGATGTTACCGAGTTTCTGAAAGCTGTTGGATCTAAGATTTTGGGTTAATGCTTTAATGTTTACTTATTATTGTGTGATTTAAATTACTGTATCAGTATATTATCTATTATTCTTTGACCAAATTTCTGCTTAGTCAATTATCACGAAAAATCTAATAATAATTAACAAAAAATAAAATAATTAACTAATGAAATACGAACAATTATGCCTTTATTGCAAAGTTCAGTAGGGATCACATCAAAGTGGTTAGGTTTAGATATTAGCGGTAGTGATTCAGTCCGGTAGTGATTCAGTCCTAAAATATACCTCAATCCCTACCAATAGTGATTGGTAGTGATTCAGTCCGTTAGGGATTCAGTCATGTAGTGATTCGGTCCGTTCACCAAAGCGATCTATAGGGCTGCTGTCCTCACCATCTTGTTGTATGGAGCTGAAGTCTGGAACACCACCAAAAAGCAGATGAAACGTTTCGAGGTTTTCCATCAAACCTCCTTGAGAAGGATCCTTAGGATTAAATGGTTCTTTCATGTAACCAACGACGAAGTTCTTAGGAGGGCTGGCATCAAGTCAGTTGAGACTTTCATCAGTGCTGCCAGGCTACGTTGGTATGGACATGTAGTTAGAATGCCAGACTCTAGACTACCGAGGTTTCTGTTGAACTGGAAGCCAAACTATGGAAAGAGGTCAAGGGGCAGACCCCGTAAGAACTGGAAGTCCTGCGTACTCGAAGATGCTGCTAAGTTTACAGGTGTTGAAAACATCGACAACGACACAACAGAAGCTTTGGCTACCAACCGAGTACAGTGGAGACATATGTTACGCCGCCAACGCGATGTGTGTGATGCAGGCCACTCCAACGACTAGGAGGAGACCTTACCATGTAACATGTATGTAATATGTTATAACATGTTATAATATGTCATAATATGTTATAACATGTTATAATATATTATAATATGTTATAATATGTTATCTTCAAATGCCATTTTATGTCATCAGAGATAGTCCAAAAACTACTCAACTCCTCAAATTAAGGCAACTCTTAATTTGAGCAGCATGACTACAGTATTCTAAAAAATCAGAAAGGCTTATTTTCCCAAAATACTGAAATAATTTTGTTAAAGTAGCTCCTTCTATTTCAGTTCCTGAGAATGGTCCCCTTACTCCCGGGTGCCAGCTAGTAACTATCTGATTGGTTGTTCGGTAACCGGAAGAAGTATTTTTTCCACCTAATCATAAATTGACCTTCCCATTAAAGAGGCGCTGTCCTCGTGACGGTACACGTGTATACCGTGTATGGTAATTGGTACACGTATATAGAAAATAACACTGAACAGTCTTCAATAATCTGTGTTAGTTTTTGTTCTGCTTTCCAGAGAATAATGCTACCCTCAGTACACTTACGAAGTCATTTTATTCCCCAACTGAGTCGACACTACGTTTACAAATAGACTGCTTAATGATACTTTTCAAATTAATTTATCAAAATCTCTCTTGTTAAATCATTCGTATGGGTATTTATGCGTATAAATTATTCAAACTACATATTATTCAAGCTATACATAATTTAAAGCTATCTAATTATGTTGATTAATAATTATGTTGGCCCTAATTTTGCCAACTGCAAATAACGTGCTGCAGCTGTTACTTTGTAACTAGTAGTATAGGAACCTGCCGGATATCCGGCAGAATCCGGTCCCGGCCGGATATCCGGCTTTTATATCCGGTTCCGGTTCCAAGAAATTTTCCGGATATTCAACCGGAAATTTCCTGAAAGTTCCTGAAATGCATATTTTTGTCTAAATTCTTTCTAAGGGGCATCCAGTCAGTGCTCTCAGTGACCAGTGAATTCACGGTAGCTTGTTATCTGTCAGCGTACAGTTTTATCGGACTTTAAGTTTTATAATTGTGTCCACATCACACATGGCTTTTAATATTATAATTGATACAAACCCACAATCAAGGATTAATTTTAATTTTCCGGCAATTTCCGGCAACCTCAAATTTCCTCTTTTTATTACCCGGTCCCGGCCCGTAAAAATCCGGCAAACCGGAAAATAGATTGATATCCGGTCGTAGTAATATGATTGATAAGTTACCTCTGTCCGTTGTTAATATAAAAGGGCCTGATGAACATTGGGGATGCAGTTCAGTCGAGTACGTGTAGCAGTGTGTAGTGGGACTATCACAGTGTTATGTACTTGTTAAACCATAATATTATACGTTTTTATCTGATGTTAGGTTGTAGTTATCCACTGTCTGAGATGGTGGGATGAGTTAGGGTTAGGGTCTGCAACCCCCGGCCACCCCAACCTAACTAGGGTATTTATAAATCCTCTCCCTCTCTCACTAGAGACAGTGTTACCATGGTGTTACTATGAGTATTGCTGAAAGCACAGTGTAAGGCCTACACGGACCGCCTCTAACTAGCCAATCCCTGTTTACATGCCGTGTAGCAGGGGACTAGAAAGAGCTAAACTAGTAAGCGGGGCATAGCCAATACACTGTACTCCCATCATTGAGTATATTACCAACCAGAAGGAAAATTTCCTTGTGTTTGGAATCTACCAAGACGAAAGTTGTGCAATCCAGCGAAATTCCGAAGAATGGTATTACTATGGTGTTACTGTGGCTACGTGACAGTGTTACCATGGTGTAACTATGGCTACGTGACAGTGTTACCATGGTGTTACTATGGCTACGTGACACTAGTCCTATCTAGATAGTATGCACCACGTGTAGTGTCACATGATAGAGCACACATCTTCTAGCTAGGGCCGACCACTGGTAACGATTGTGGCTACGATCCCCGTAAAGTGTGTTTGATGACCAGCTCGAGAATTTAGTCTCCGACACGCAGGAGCCCCTGACCAAGCTACCACACCGCACAGTGTGAGGTGTGGTAGCGTGTGAGGCTCACACTGACACACGGAGACCACTATCTGAAGAGAGGGAGCTGAGATTGTGGAGCTGTGTGACTGGCATGTGCTGCTCCCTGCATCCCACCATCTCCCTCTCTATCTCGACTAGCGACCCCCTGCAAGTGAGACCAGGGATCCTGATACGTTCCTCTCAGCTGCACTTTATCTGTTATTCTATATAGTTACTATGGTAACACTCCTTATATGGTAATGTTTATCAGTTGTTCTATATCAGTCTAGCAGTAGCTCTTCACTGTAAAATCAGTTGTTTGTCTCGTAGTAGTAAGGTAGTGGAAGCTGTGTTTTAAACTCATCTCAAACCCTGAAGTGCTGACATGTTCAGATAATTGATGTAATAGTGAGTCAGGGAACCTGTCCGAGTAGAATCAGGAGGAGTCAGTAAACTAGCCTGCTGTTGTATCACGTGATATCCCTCTCTT